TTTTTTTTTTTTTGAAAATTTTGAGCTAATTTAAGTATAAACACTGACACACATATATGAGTTATAAACTATCAATCAATGGGCTAAAATGGCTTGCGAAAGATAGTATAATTTAATAAGGTGTTGCCTAATTGGATTCCAGGCAATCATGTTCAGACATAGTACACTCAATTTCTCTGTTTTTACAGCCATAAATTAGTTGCGGCAAAATATGGTTAATCATTTACACTAACCATTTTATTGTCCAGAAGCTGCTTTAGACTGCTGTGGCAGGCCATCGATCATGCTCAGTTGTCTCCTAAGCTTCACAATGTGAGCTTGAACCTAAGAGAATAAAAAAAATAAAATAATTTTAAATAAAATAAACCTAAAATTACATGAAAAGAAAAAAAAAAGATAAAATTATTACATCCGATGTGATTTTTATTGAAATATCATTAGCTCAATAAGGCTCTGTTTGTTTTATACTGTTTTGTTTGTGGCGTGTTAATCTTTTATGGTTTTGGGTTGTCAAATAAAGTGAATAGATATTAGATAGATTTAAATTAGGGACCAACTACTATGTATTTACATATCTAGCATCTAAATTTTACTTTTTACAATTGCAACACCCTAAATCTTTCATATCACATTAAAAATAACATCATTTTAACTTCTAAAATGTGAAATACACATTTTTATGCATAGGTAAGATGGCATGTATGTAAAAATTAATGTCTATATGCTAGATATGTAAATACATAGGAATTGGGTGGGATGTATGTAAATCTTCCTTTACATTAATTGCTACCAAAACTTATGGTGCTGATTTGCGGGGTTTGAGAAAAGAATGTTGCAAATTTGATGAGAGTTGATTGAACGATCTCTATAGATATTGTTATGAATTTAATATAACTATAGTTGGTACGTGGTCATTAAATGATCAATTAATATATCAAACAAAAAAAGAATGTTGTCTCTATCGATATTATAATGCATTTTAAGATAATATTTTAATTGACTTAGTACATGTTCATTCAATGATCAATTAATACACCTCAAAGAAAAGAAAAGTTGCGAAAGCACTTTCCAGGAAGCTACCTTACAAAATACTAACTTTAGCTTTTCATTCAACATTCGTTTTCACATTTGTTAGACCAAACACCCTAAAATTAATATTGTTTGCTCAAGTGGAACTGCAGAAGCAGACAGCAAAAATCGGTGTCCAACAGAACAGGCATCAATAAAATGAACAAATGACGACAGAGTCGACACCTCAACTAACACAAAAGAAGATGATTAGGCTTTGTTTGGTTCCACTTTTCTCCATTTTGCATGTGTATTTTCTCTATGATTTTATGAGCACATGAATTAATTTGCAAAGTAGCTCATAATTTTACTTGAGTCTTAATTTTGATTTAGAGGGTGGGTTTTACAAACATACCATAGAATTCTTAAGCATTAATAAATCTAATACCTAAATCTTTATATGTATTTGTATTAACATCTTAGTATCAACAACAACAGCAAAAAATAAAAATAAAAATTCAACTTCTAAATCAAATCAAAATATATTCATAAAGAAAAATGTTTTATTTTACAAAGTTAATGTAGCAATATTTATTAGATGTTTTAAAGATTATGGATACTGTACAAATAAATATAATAATTTGGGTATTAGATATACAAATATATAATTCTTTTTGATAAATCTGTAAATCCCACTATTGATTGGTACATCACAATAAAAATGCACCATAAGCATAATAGTATTAAATGAAGCACAATTAAAGGTTGTCATTCTCTTCCTCGGTGAAAGTAAGGGTCTGTTTGGGACAGCTGTTGATCAGCAGATTATTCTGATATTCTGATGATCTGATAATCTACAAATTATCAGAGTAATCTGGCTTGCTATTTGGGGCAGCTTATTCAAAATAGTTTATTGGTAGTTATGACTATATAAATGACCTTCCTGCTCTTATCTGATAAAACTGTTTGAGTCAGCTTATTCAGAATAGTTTATTGGTAGTACATAAACATATATTGCAAAAATATAAAATCATCACAGACGAGTTCCAAAAGAGGATATACAGTTCTCACACTCTTGTGAGCATCAGAAAAAATAAAAAAAGTATAAAGACAAGTACAACTACAATGAGAAATATTAAAATATTTAATTTCAAACTCTGACTACGTTTGTCTTCAGCTGCACTATCAACCTGGGAAAAGAGTTCATAATACAACAACATAAAACATAACTCCAAATAAACAAATGAGAACATAATTTCAAATAGTCATAATACAACAGCATAAAACATAGAAAAACTCATTCATCCACAATAACACGCAAATACTCGATGCGCAGCTCAGGTTCTATCGCCATGAATATTTGCCTACGTGTTGGATCCTCTAACTTTTTCATACATAATGCTTGAAAGCGCCTATCCGCAACTAATTCAAGGATAGTGGACAAAGTTCGAAGACAATCAAAGATATGCTGTCAGAAAGTGGAGCAGGCGGTGGAGCTCCAAAAGCATCTATGAGTCGATCAAATGAAGTTTCAACAAAAAATGTCCTTTTCTTTCTTCCTTTTTCCTAGCTCGGGCCTCTTCGATTGCGAGCTTGACTCCCCCAACTCCCTCTGGTCTACACTATGTATTTCTTCATCAGCTGTCACCAGCTCTGGCGGGAAGTCATCTGATATACCTGCAAACCCCGTCTCACTAGGGTTGAATGCATGCTTTCCCGTCGTCACAACTCCCTTAAACATTATGTCAATTTGTCTTCAAGATCCGACTCAAATTCGCTCTGTTTGTATTTTTTTGTTGTCGGCATTGCCTGTAACATTACATTGAGAAGGGGGTTTACGGAAATAATTGGTTAAATAAAAAATATTTGTAATAAAAAAATGATAATGACAATTTTACCTCTAATTTTTCGGCCCACCATTCATCTGAAGCATCAATTGTCCGTTTAATGAGATTCTAACCCAATCCCGTGAATTCAGGTTTCAGCTCCTTCCAAATTTTTTACCCCTTCAATTGATCTCATTTATTTTTAAACTTCAGACTGTCATAATCCCTTCCAGTCAGTTATTTAAACATTTTAGCTATATTCTGCCAATATTCCTTGTTGAAATAGGTGGTTGGCCTATTCCCAATCTCAATCTCGGTGATGTAGAGGTTGCAGAAAATATTTGTAACTTCCTTATCTCACATCGCTGACGGACAACCTTCATTTGTCTTAGCCATGGTGGAATTATACGAAGAATTGCATATTGCATAAAAAAATTCATATTATAACTCAACATGCATAAGAAAATTGTTGAAAAAATAATTGCACCAGCACCAACACAAAGCTAATTGCACAAGCACAAAGCAAAAATCAATAACCATGAATGTCAAACCATTTTTCTGCCACCAATACAAACAACAGTGTAGTTATTTGCTCACAAAAAAAAATATAAGAACACAAAAGAATTTTGTGGTTCGGTCAAAAACTTACATCCACTGTAAGACATCGAACATGTTTTATTATGCAATTGTGTAAGGTTACATAACTACAAATCTTAAGGGAGAACACTAAAACATGCAATTCTTCCTCCCTTTTTCTCCCTTTGGTGCTAATAAAAGTTCCTCAACTAACAAAAAAAATCAGAACATGTTTTAATTCTTCCTCCCTTTTCATGTATATGCTAATAACCAAATGTCAGTTTTGATTTCACAGCATTCAATGAAAGAGATGTTCATCCTGTTGCTATACTAAAAAGAAATATTGCAATGCTTTCCCGTTTTAAATCTGATATAAAAATAGCTAATGCATTCTTCTGATCCGCATTTTGACAGCTATAAAAGTGTGAAAAATGCTTCATATAAAACCAGGAAGCCGAATAAATGTCATTTGAAAGCCAAATATAAAAAGAAATACCTCGCATATGCATATAAACAATAAAAATCCTCGCATATGACCAAGCAGACAATAAGCATTTCAATTGGAATGATTCGAGTGTGTTAAAAAAACTTCATACCACACTTGAGTATAAAACATTTCAACAATTCTATAACCAATGCCATTAAAACTAGCAGTTGTAACATAAAACATTTCCACCATTCCATAATCATTGCCAATCTTAACAATTGTCATTCTGCATGTACTTATCTCCCCATTGCTATAACCATAGACTTGAAAAACAAGAATTAATTCCAAACAATTTTATTAGGAGTATCCAGGAACAGAATATGAATTTCTCAGCAATTCAATAAGAAATTCGAAAACATCAATAATGGGTTTGAAAATTCAATTTCGTCTCTACAAAAAAACAGACTAACGAAAAGACATTCAAAAAATTATTGCAAAATGAACTGTAGCAAATCCAAAAATTTTGCAAACTCTACAGAACAACAAACAAACGGATCCCATTTTTCAGCAATTTCAAATCGAGCTCCAACAACATATAGATAAAAAAAGACATACAGAAATTTTTCTGGAAACCAGATCTCTGTAGCAAATCAATCCCTATAATAATTTTTGTCTATTTGCAAAAATCTGGGAAAATCAGGGAGGGCAAGAAAGAGACAGTGATGCGAAGGGAGAAATTTTTCTCTATTTGCAAAAATTTCTCTCTATTTGCAATATGTTGCAACTTTTCTCTATTCCTAAAAATCTATTGAATACCATATCTCTCTTCTCAGAGAAATGCAAAAAACGTGAAAATGAGAAAAGATACCTCATTTGAGGCGAGGAGCAGAAGGAAAATCAGGGAGGCCGAGAGTGAGAATTTTCGTTACCTCGATGTCGATCTCCGCAAGAGAAGTTGCAAAAAGAAGAAGGAAGAACGAGAGGACGAGAGTAGAATGGAAGAGCGAGCGAAGGGCACATAAGGAAAATTTTACCCTAGCGCAATAATCATACGCGGGACGCAAGCCACCTCCCGCTTCGCACATCCTTAAGATATTTGAGATCGGTGTTACGGAGCGGCAGGAAAACGTCTTCCCAACGTTTTTTTCAAACACTCTGTAGCGTTTTGAAAACGCCACCGCAAGTCAATAAGCTGCCCCAAACGGGCCCTAAGTCGAAAGGCCAAAAAAAGCACTGACTTTAGTCAGATTCAAATCAATTTGTTGTTGGATAAGTTTTCAATGCCAAGTTTTCCACATCCAAGAAATGCATAGCCACAATCAATCAAGAAAAAATTTATTGAACAAAAAATAGAACTAAATAATTAGTTTCATCTGAAGTTCTTCTTATGGGTTTGATTTCTTTTATTTTTAAAAGTATATGTTTTTATTTTTTGTTTCAAAAAATAAATTAACATGTTTAAGAAAACACTCAATAAAAAAACTTTTTTTAGTGCTTTTAAAAACAATTATATATAAAATAAAAAATATGTTTTATTTCAAATCAAAGGATGACTAAAACAAAAGAAAAAAAAATGTGATTCCAAATGGCCCCTAAGAGTGCATAAAGTGCTAAACCTCCGCACAAATCTTTTTGCACAACTATCCAAATTACTTTTACTTCAAAATTCATGTGGCCGTCGACGAATTTTTCCGGATCTATGTGGTCGTCGAAATACGGAAAATCTACATTTACTTCAAAATTATGACTTCTCAGATATTTCTGGTCATATTTTTGAGGTAGAGGTTTTTAATCCCTGAAATCCACATGATAGAAGAGGTTCACTCCATTCTTTCAATCTACAAGTCACTGTTATAGCTATGGGTGACCCATCCGCATTTCCTTCTCTCAAATGTGGCAAGCCTCTATTATAGTTAGTGGATTTCCCACTGCAAATACTCCCTAGAATTCCCCTGGGAATCTCTTTGTGAATTTCTCATATAAGCAAAATATTGTTTCCCCTCGATCAGGCTTCCGACAATTATCTCCTTAGCAGCATGGATAGATTTTGGGTGTGAGTAGATGGAATGTGGTCTGTAAGGGTGATACAAGGTGCGAAAAAAATTTTAGGTGGCGATAGAGTTAGGTATTAGTGGATGCTAGAAACCCTGGGATATAACTAGAGTTAATTTAGCTCTAATACCCAAACTATATTAGAAAAAATAAATATTATTACAGGAAGCAAATCGGCGGTTATAATCAAACACACTTGAAAGGGAAAATACAATACACATGACACGTAAACTCACGTTAGGACAGATCCCGGGTGAAGGTGGTGATAATTAGAGAGCCTGGTGAGGTAGCGACAAGGTAGAGAAGGGGTTTCTGAGCATTGAATGAGGAGCGACAGCGATTATGGGTGGCTTGAAAGGCAGGGCAGCAAGGGACAGCTCAAACAACAGCAGTTGGTTGTTTGGGGCAACCAAACAGCACAAAAACAGCAAGGGAGAGGTGTTACGTCAATGACAGCAGGCTGGAATGAGGAAAAACAGCTGGTCGGATGGTTGGAACGGTAGAAAACAGCCCGGACAGCTGCTTTTGGGTGGAGACAGTGAACAGGAATAACGGCGACTGCGAGCAGGTGAAGGCGTGTGACTGAGGGACAGCCAAAGACGGACTGTCCAGGGGTTGCAGCAACGAGAAGGATAGCTGGACGACAAAGAGCAATAGGAAGACAACAACGGGACTGCTAAAAGGAGGCTGCAGCTAGGAGGAAGGTTTGGTAGCGAGGCAAGAGGGACACGAGAAGGGGTAAGGAAGATAATCACCACCTGGAAACTAAAATACAGCAGAAACACCAACTGAAATGTTAGGATATAACCCTCCAAAGGAAGAAGAGACATTGGCAACTGTCCCAATACAAAACACCAAAAAAAAAAGCTAACTTCTAAACCCCTACAACACATATATATATAAAGACGAAAAAGAAATAAAGATAATAAAAAAAAAGCAAAAGAAAGGAAGACGATATTATTTAGGCACATCCCCTGCGATGTCCATTCCCGTGGTACTGTAGCAACTACAGTACCGAAGGAATTTTGGGCAGTAAGCTTCCACATCACCCTTAAATCCATCAATTTTCATCCAAACCACTTTAGATTAATATTATGTCATATTTATCCATCTACCACTACCTTTAATTTACACGCAAATCACCAAGGTTCTGAAAATTCATATGATGTTAATCCAAATGGACTTTTGTTCTTCTTTGGTAACCTTTTTCTTTGATTGTTTCTTCTATCTTCTTTGTTACAATTGAATCGGGCTGAGCCATTCATAGTCCTTGATGTTAATTTTTATTAGACCGCCATCCTTTCTTCAAAACTAGATTTTATCAATTTTTCAGTTTAAAAGTATAAATACTGCCTACAAAAATCGCATAATTATTGCATTCTTTGGTTTCAACCACATCTATTTTTATGTTAAATGAGAATCTATCTTAGAAATTTAAAACCTTGAAACATCCTACATCATGGTTGATATCAAAGAGTAAGGATGCTTTATGATAAACTTCAATTTTTCAATATATGCTGCCTCACCTACGCTGAAAAACGTATGTGTATTTGACCTTTTAAAAAATAAAAAAGTGCTCTTTTTTATGTGATATGAAAGATTTGAGTGGTATAAATGCAAAAAAGCAGAGTTTAGGAGTAAGATGAAATGGGCGTTATGTATGTAAATGCCCCTTAATTTTTGAAGTTCGGAGATATAAAAAAGTGTGAGTGAACTCTAAAGAAGATCCATTGCCAACTTTAGATGGTATGGTCTGGTAGACACCAGACCCAAAGGAGGCCCCTACTACAATTTAATAAGATTATATAGTTTTCAATAAGTTAAAAAAAAAACATTAAAAATGTGCGCCATCTTAGTGTAGCCTAAACCATAGAGCCGCACAACAAAAAGATTCATTAAAAATAACAATTTAGGTGACAGAAAATGATACTTAACATGTCAAGGATGGCTTCCAATAATATTTGTCAAGTTAATCCGCACAAAAAGGATATGGATTGAATAAAAGTTATTTGAACTGAAAAATGAAGCAAAATTAAGCAGAACGATCTGTAATTGGTACCTGTTGGCGAGCAGCAGCTAGTTTTAAAAGTTCATCCGCCTCAGAGAAGTTCATGAACCATTGAGCGTAAGGATGGTCTTTAGTGTCACCTCTTTTCTTCTCAAGCACAGGTTCAGGAGGACCTATGGTATTCAAAGCATGGGTAACATCTAGTTAGCTTCCAGAAATAAAAAGATCAAACCTAGTGATAATTTGATTGTCCTTTCAAGGGAGAAAATAATTGGAGCTGGGGGTGTAAAAGAGTCAAGTCAAATTCGAGCCGCCCTCAGTTTGAGCCTGAATTTGATTAATTAATCAAGTTCGAGCTTTAGCTTCAGCTCGAGCTTAATTGTATGAGTTCGAGCCGACTTGCTTATTATGAAAGAAAGAAAACAACATTAATTCAAGCAAGTTTCATAATAAAATGACAAATAGAACAAGATATTTAGATATAAATAATATGAAATTACATGATATAAAATGTAAAATATCATTTTTTTTCAATATTTTTAATATTTTAAAGATAAATTATTCAATTTTTTTTATAGTTTGAGTATATTTTATATTAATTATTATTTAAACAAATCGGCTCACGAGATAACAAGTCTAGTCGGGGTTGGCCTGAGCTTGGCTTGTTAGTTCATCGAGCTCAGTTCACAAACCACTTATCGAGCCAAGCCCGAGCTAGCTCACAAGTCGACTCGACTCGACTCTCAATTACATCTCTAATTGTGGGTGGTTTGGGTTCTAGTTGGGACCAGTTGGAGGCAAATTGAGCCCGGAGGGTAGTCTGGGGACAATTGCAGCTGGATGATTTTGAACACGAAGAAAAAAGGCCTCAGATGGCTCAGAAAATACAATCTCATCGTAAGTTTCGACAACAACTGGTTTTTTGGTTGTTTGGGGTCCACCATCCTCCTCAGGGTACAGTTTAAGCTGGTGATATCTGCATGAAATTGAGATTTTTAAATTAGAAATTACAATAAGAAAGTAAAAATTAAAACTTGCAAATTCCTAACATAACTTACAGGTCAAGCTGCTTATCACAGACATCGCTATGGAAAAAAAGGGTAATAGCAATTTCAAATTCTCCCCATCCAGATTCTGATAGCTCAAAAGGCGGCGACTCGACAACACGTGTCGGATTGTTGAAACTGGGATGTAGTTGAAACACGACACGCTTAACTATCACTCCCAAATCCTCATTTGTCGCCCCACGAACATAAACAGTCCATTTGTGAGAATTATACCTAATAACAATTATCATTTTATTACAAGGCATTCGACTTGAAGTATAAAAATTAATTTCACATATAATTCATTAAAAAATACTTTAATAAAAAAATTTTGTTTAAATCTAGGTCCCTCGTATTCCGCCTAGTAAAGATTGGGCCTTCAAGTTTTTATTTTTCACAATTGTTGGTCAACTTGAAACCCTATTTCTTTTGGGTGTGCCATCATTAGAATTTACCAAACCATGATGGATCCAATGTGAAAGATAAAAGCTTTAAGGGATCTGATAGTTTACTAGGGTCAAGATTGAAGGATTGAGATGCAATTTACATAAAAAACCTTTGAAGTGCAATGCTTACTCGCTAGCTTTTTTACCAAGCCAAAAGGATATAGTCCCATACACAATTGGAAAACCGATTTCAACGTCTTTGAGTCGCTTGGACTGACCCTAAATTAAATAAAAGCGAGATTAAAATAAGCAAAAATAGCAAAATGAAATTTGAATAAAAGGTTAAAACAGTTCTTCTTAATTATGGGTAGTCATACAGTCAGACTTTTAATATATATCTCAAAATTCACCTTTCCAACACCACAAAAACAACAAGTTTTTATCCCACTAAGAGTAAAAAATATTCCGTCCGGACACATCATCGGCAGGCGACGTGGCCACCGGTGGTTGGCCGTCCGGACGGAATATTTTTTCCACTAAGAGAGTTCGGCTATATGAATCCTTTTTCTCCATTTTTTCCCATTGAGCGCCATATTTTCATTTAATTCTAATAGATTAAAATTTACCTCTCCCATGCTACTATATAATGACCTCATCTATAGAGCGGAAGAAAGCTGAAAATAAGTTTAAATTCAAGTTACAATTTATAAAAATGTGCTAAATATACTCGGACAATATGCTCATGTTATGAAAACGTTTGATGGCATTCCATTCAATGAGATGATTTTGTAAGTCTTTGCATAAAATCTAGCAAATTTTCGTTAATTTCCAATAAAAAATAGTAATATTAAAAAAAAAACTTCCTAATAGGATGGTAACAAGAGCATAAACTAAATATATGGCTGAATCGTAAGTTTATGAAAAAAAATGCTTCATAAGAGAATATCACTGCACAACAGCTTTCCATCAATAAAGGGAAAGAATAACCCCTAAATTAATGAAGTTAAAGCAAACCAAAAAATATCACAATTGAATGGGGAAAACTGAAAACCCAAGAGATTTCTGCCATATTTAAAAGGTATGGGGCATAAAAAGTAGCACACGCAAGGATTCAGTACTAACATGTCTCTTTTTTAAGTTTCAGTGCTAATTGAATAATACAACAGCCATCTAGAGACTAAAACTTTAAAGAAGATTTACATACATACCATTCAATTTTTATATATTTACATATCTAACAACAGCCATTTAGTTATAGGACATCCTCTTGGGCGACCAAGAACCAAATGGAGTGATCAGACAAACCTAGCTTTACTGACCATAAATATGCTATGCTAGGATGCCTTTGAATCTTACATGACCAAGTCAATCAAACTCTCGCCTAAGCATAAACCAATGTTAGATGACTCGTAATCATACGAGTTCTTCAAAAACAAATCAGACAAGTCGTAACTAATGAGAAGACTGCCCAGCCATTCAGAGTAACTGAACATTCATAACATAGGGTTTAGGGGTCAAATAAAGTTCTAACTCGAGAAGAAACAAAGAAGTTAGGTAACAAATTTAAGTCATGTCAAGCTTTCAACTTGCACAAAATACTACTAACTAAAACACCCAGGTTGGGCAGGCTTGACTTCCTCCCAACTCTCCTTCAAACTCCCAATCTAGTGTTTGGCTCGTCGCCTTTAGATATAAACAACAAGAATGAGCAAACTCAGAAGAAAATGACTACACATTAATAGTTTTTAAAAAGGAATAATACTATATATAAACATGATAAAATCAAAAAATAGAAATGTCCAGCTATGCTAACATTTGGTCAATAGACATGAACAAAACATATGTGTTTCAACAATTCCTGCATATTCTGTGACATCCTACTTATTTATTCAAAGCTCATATAGCATTTAAATGCAATGCTGCTGATATTCACACATTTCTCAAAGCCATAGCGTCACAATCCTACTAAAACAATCATCAATTGATTCAATAATATTCATTGAGTGCATTTCCAATTTACTCTTACATGGAATATACAAATATTCATTAGGATGAAAATTATAATGATGCGCACATGTACTATTTGACAATAGGAAATATAAAGCACAAGGAAGATAACCTATGAATCAGGAAATAATATTGCAAGAAAAATGTGACACGCTTAATGGATTAAGATTACAAACAAAAAAGAACACAGAAATAATATAAGACAATTGTTGATCCTTAATTCTCAAATTCATTGCATTAGTAGATCTACTTTTCTCAATTAAAGGGGCGGGCTCCTCCAAGCTCTTTTCTCACACAAACAATAAATGGAATAGGAACCTTGCCCCTTAGTTTTATATAATATTAGGAGAAATAAAATCAACAAAGTTCTGATACCCCACAAGTTGTCCATTCAACTTGTCTACCTATGCAAAGACAACTCTAAAATGATACACAGATACAAACGTGAGAAAACAAATATGATACCACACGAAGACGAAACACTTCAGTATTTAAAAATATAGGACACGGATACAAATTGGATGCATCATTATAATATAAAGGAGCATTTACATACAACCCATTTCTTATATATTTACATATCAAACACCCAAACTTTGTTTTTAGATTTATACCAACCTAAATAGTTCATATCACAATGAAAACAGCATTATTTTAAGTTTTGAAAAGTGAAATACACTTTTTTCATGCATAGGTAAGGTGTGATATGTAAATGCATAAGAATTTAGTGGTATGTATGTAAATCTTCCTAACATAAATTATTAAAAATATATAAAATTAAATAAATAGAACTTTAGAAACAATAAAGGAGAGATGATAAAAAAATTTCATAATATTAATTTTCTAATAATAAGGGACCGATAAATATTATTTAGTTTATGATATAGAAAAAATAAACACTGAATGACTTAGATAATAACATAAGTTTAACTTAAAAAAATAGAATAATATTCCTAAAATTTTAATATTAAGAAATATAAACATGTTTACATGTTTTTTGGAAATTTAAATTCAATTTTTTAACTAGAAGTGTCCATGCATCATAGTCCGCAAACATTGTGATTCCTTAAGGGTTCGTTTTCTTAATATTTGGTGACCAAAGGCAATTTATTAGAGGTCCTTTGAACCCTTTTCTCACACAAACCCTATAAGCAACAACGGCCTTTCCTTCAAGGGATCCGCTAGTTTTGTATAGCCTTAGAGGAAGTGAAACCAATGATCCATTCAGCTTGTCTACCTATGCAAGGAAAACTTCCCAATGATCTACATATATGGCGACTCCCTAAGAGTTTCTTCTTCAAAGTTCTAATGATTGGTGACAGCTGAGAATTTACTAAAGGTCACTTTATCCCACTATTGAGAGATATAACAACATAGAAAGTCACCTTGGAACAACTCACTACTTGAACAGTTTAAAAGGAGCGAACCATGGGAAATGCTTTGTGGATGCCATAAGCTAAAGCAAAATTGCAAATTTGGTTAGCTTGTGAGATTTAAAAGTGAATGAGAAGAAGAGAATAAAATAATAAGAGGGAAAGAAAAAAAAAAGAGGATAAGAAAAAGAAAAAGAAAAAGAATAGGGAGGTATATAAAATATTGTCATGCTATTTCGTTTGTCATCATGAATAATTGCGTCGACAAAAAGGATGGTCTATGACATGGGCAAAAGTATGAGTACAAGCTTGGACAAAAAATTTCATCTCGGAAAAATCTAGTTCAATATGGCTAGGGGTTTTGAAATAGAATGAAAAGTGGAGATAAAAATAGAGAAAGGGAGAAAATGATATAAGATAAGAAAGGGCAAAAGAAACAGAGAAATGGGGAAAAAAGTAGTGCATTACGTTGCTTACCATTATGAAGAATTGTTAGACAACCAAGCATGGTAGTGTCAAAATAATTGTGTTAGGATCATGGGTGGATATAAGAGAGGGCCTGAAGGATCACGAAGGAAAAAAATACAACAACAACAACAACAAGCCTTTATCCCACTAAGTGGGGTCGGCTACATGAATCTTTTTTCTCCATTGCATCCTTGAGTGTTATATTTTCATTTAATTCTAATAAATTAAGATCATTTTTATACAATATGGTCTAACTTTGCCTTTCTTAACATATGTTGAATCTAAAATATTTACTCTCCTAACTGGATCATCAAATGATAGACGTTTATTTTGACCAAACCATCTAAGACGGCTCTTTTGAATTTTGTCTGTCACTGGAGCTACACCAACCCTATCACGAATATATTCATTTCAAATTTTGTATCTAAGTGCAAAGCCGCTCATCCACCTAAACATTCTCATCTCGACAACACTTAACTTGGTTTTATGCTTCTTTTTTAAAGGACAACATTCTACATCATAGAGCATTACAGTTCTCACCACCATCTTACAAAGTGTTCTCACCACCATCTTGCAAAGTTTTCCTTTCAATCCAAGCGATATTTTTCTATCACACAATAGGCCCAATGCATTCTTCCACTTCAACCTTCCACTTCAACCAACCAACTTACCAACCAACTTGAATTCTACTAATAACATCCCCATCTAAAGCATTCACACCTTTTAGTGATTTGATTACTCATAATTACAACTATGTCACTAGAGCTACTACTACTAAAATAATATTCCTTGTATTCAGTTTTAGTTCTATTCAAATGAAGGCCTTCAAACTCCAACATAGACCTCCATAACTGAAGTTTTTCCGAAACTCTTTCTCTAGCCTTACCCACAAGAAGGATATCATCAGCGAAAAGCATAAACCAAGGTACATCCTACTATAAATGTCCAGTGAGAGAAACCATAACTAAAGCAAAATGATATGAGCTTAAACCGATCGTGATGTAATCCAACTGAAATAGGAAAATATTTGGTCCATCCTCCTTTTGTTCCAATATAAGTAACGGCTCTAGTATACATATCTTTAATGACTTGAATATAAATCATATTAACACCTTTCTTCTCTAGAACTCTCCAAAGAATTTCTCTTGAAACCTTATCGTAAGCATTTTCCAAAAAAAAAAAAAAAATTACATGTAGATCCTCCTCATTCTCTCTGTTCTCTCTGTACTTCTCCATCAACATCAAACCTCTCAATAAATGAATAGCTTATGTTTCACCCAGCTTTTTATGACGTTTACTTCGCATTCGTGGTGGAATATTGTTTCTAAAAAGTCAATATATCCAACTACATGAAATTAGTTGTCTTCTATGTCAAGCTTTTGCATTTTTAAGGTGACTTTACTTACATAACTGCATTTCTTGTGTTTACACATCTAACATCTATATATTTATGATTACTCATATAAAACCCCAATCTCTAAATTATATAAAAAATGACATTACCATTAACTCATTCAAAGAGAAATATAATTTTCATTCTTTGCCTGACTTCGGCTCTCGCGACAATTTACCAACATTAACTTAATATGAATTATAACCCCATCATCTAATTTTAAAAAGAAAAGAGACCACAGATTTTCACTTTTCAGAGTTTGCTCCAGTGGACATAATTGACATTTTACTCATATAAATGGATGAAAAAAACAACAATAACCCTTTCGCAGATCTCCAGACCACCATACAGAGCTCTAAGGAAAGCTGAGAAAATAGAAAATTGGAAAACAATGAATTTTTTAAGAATTTTATCAAAACCTCGTGGAATTTACAAGTGGAAAGCTTCCATTTATTACAAGGGGGAGGGGCAGCAGGCCATTACAAAAAAGAAGAAGACAGTAACTCATAAGAAATTGATCAAAAACCATAAATTGAGGGCCAAAGGAAATACCAGTGATGAAGGCTTGCGCGATAGCTGGATTTTCTGAATGCCGAGCATGGCCTAAGAAACGACTCGCCGGAAAGCAAAGAGCGATTAACGGAAGTGAGCAAGAAGACCCGAATCAGTGTGGAGGGTTAGGGTATGTCAAGAAGGTGAAATTCTAGGATTTACGAGGGGCGTTTTTGTCATTTGGTGATTGTGCCGGAGAATTTGAAAAATGGATGAAAGAGAATGATTGATTTGTAAATAGGAAGTTTGAGGTGGTCTCTGTATAATTGTTCTCTTTTTTTTTTTGTTTTGAATACCTGAATATTCCATTTTCGAATTTTTGAGTCGATTTTAATATTCATTAAATCAAATAAATAAACAAACTGAATAAGATTAAGGGTGTGTTTGGGAGAGCGTTTTTTCTGCGCTGGCATTTTAAAAATGTTATCTCGAGTTTGGAAAACACCTGTCAAATACGTTTTGTAAAATGGAGTTTCCATTTTACTATTACACGCAGAACCGCTACCCGCGATCCGCATTTCATTGTATTGAAAGACTTTCGATGCCCCTCGTCTCTCCTCTGCCCTAATTTCGCAAGCAGCTCTCGCGCACTGCGGGATTCTCTCATCTCCTTTGTATCTCCTTCGTAGAACCCTAATGTTATTTCTGTTTCGTTTCTTTGGATGTCCACAGTTTCATCTTTCTGAGAATGCTAATCGAGTCCCTTAAGAGTACGTTTGGGTGTGTTGTGTGCCTTATTTGGGCAAAAATGTATTTCAATTTTCGTTTGTTTTTAAAAACTTCAATTTTCATTTCCAGTGATTGATTTGATTTTAAATTTCATTTAGATAAAGAGATCGAGAAATTGTAATTTTGAAATTAAACTAAATTTATGAAATTTCATTGCTTTTTTATATATAATTTTTTTATGTTTGCTCATAACTGATCTTTAACTTGAAAATTAAATTTTGATTTGTTTATAAATAAATTATTTAAATCGAATTATATTTTGGTTAGGCCGTTTCAATTCTATAAAATATTTAATTGTTCAATTTTTTTTTCTATTTTGAAATTCGATCGCAATAAATTTGATTAATTTGAAAATCGATTCATTCAAACCAACCGACTTATCACCTCTAATGTTAGGATTAAAAAGTTTAATTTGTTTAAAAAGAAAATAAATTGGCAATATATTTATTTTAATTTATTTAAACAAAAAATTTAAATTTGTTTTAATTTAAAAAAAGACGGCCATACAAATAAGTTAATAAAAATAGTCATTGTATAATAGGAATTTAAATATCAAGTACTTCATTTTGAAATTGAACAAAATGCTAAATGTTATTTTACTTCTAACATAATTGATTAAAGCAAATTTCGATGTGAATTGGTTTGGATCAATTTTATGAAAATAGTAGTTCGAATTTTTTAATTTCAAATTTCGGTTTATTTATTTATTTATTTATTTATTTTTACGCAGAGTGAAGGTCATGTCCAGCTATATTAAAAGACATAGAAATATAATGAGAAACCTTAGAGTACAACCCACTCAAAAGAAAAATAAATCTACAACTAGAAACAACACAAAGTTGTCAAACAAACAACCTCATAAGAAACCCAGCAACTAACAACAGACTGTAGGAGACAATAACACCACCGCAAAGATACCCTAATCCTCAAGAACAAACATAGCCTCCAACAAAATCACGTAACAACAGAGCATGCAAAGAATTGAGCTTCAACCCAATAAGACAAAAATAACACAAATCCTGCAAAGAAAACAAGAGAGTAGAAGAAAATCCAAAAAAGGATCAAAATAAAATAAGAGAGAATAAACAAAGACAACAAAAGAAAAGAGATAGGAAGCAATACCAAGAGCTCAGAATTTACCTGCAAAATTTACTAAAATTTTGTCCTAAAAATAAATATAATAAATTATATTCATTATCAGTTGAATTTTAATAAAGTTGGAATTCACTAGTGCTCAATACCAATCACAACAAAAGAAAAATTCAAGGAATAAATGAACGATACTGAAATCAACCAAAGAACCATCAATAGAAAATAACAACTAAGAAACAAAAAAAAAATCATAAACATAAATACCAAGTCCAATAAATACAAAAGTTGCAAGGAACAAATAACCTAAAGCCACCGGAACATACATCAGAAATCAATAAAACAAATCCAAGCAACATCAACATAACATTAAGCTACTAAACCATCAACAAAGCAAAAATCAACAACATCATAAAGGGAACCAAAGCCACCAAAACCAATACAAGCTCCATTAGAAATATAAAAACAACACAACTTACAAAGATCAGAAACCAAACCTAATAATCTAAAAACAACACTGCACAACAGGAAAACAAAATAAAAATATATTAAATATTTGGTTGAATTCCAAATAAAATTCCATAAAAAAATATGAATATATTAAAGTATAATCAATATTTGGTTGAAAATACAAAAAACATCAAAATACTAAAGCAAACTAAAGTAAGCACAACATAAAAAAAAAAAAAAAAAAAAAAAAAAAAATCAAACTCAACCAACACGGAAGCCCTAGCAGGAGACCAATTGAAAGAGAAAAAAGAAACTTTATAAAGGTTAAAGATACAATTAGGAACATATTCTCTAAATTTCCAATTCCTACTTTTATAGATTATTAATCAATGAATATAATGAATAAAACTATCAATAGAACAAAAGTTATTCCTAAAAATACTTGAGTTCCTTTCAAACCAAAATTGATAAGTCGTAACTTGCAAAGCAAATAATTGAAATCTTTTTTTAAATTTTACTAGAGATGTTACCAAACTGGTATAGTACCAGAAACATATTAGGATGAGCTATAAAAAATAGCCACAAGACATACACTTATTAAGAAGATGATGAGAGAATGTGCATTAAAAAAAAGATGAGTGAGTCTCAAAACCATTACCACAATTAACACAAAATATTATTAATATTCATAACTCAAAGAAAACGAATACCACAAGCCTCTAAACCACTGTGGACAAAATTCCAAGTATGTATGGCATATATAATAAAATATCCTTTAAACCAAACTAGCTTAAACCAATTTACAATAAAAAAAATGATTGTATAATGACATATAAACAAACTTATGAGAATAAGAATTGACATGATCCCATAAATAAGAATCCCCATTAATAATATGAATAGAAGTAATAGACTTTAAACAATTAATAAGAGATTGCTTAAAACATCTAAATTCCAATTATCATCAATAATAACATCTCTAAGAAGGGCATTAGGAGGAAGATAAACCATGAGAAAATAATATCTCCAGAAAACTCTTTTAGAGAAGTACCATTAAACCAAGCATCATTAAAAAGACAATATTAACCATTTCTTTCCAAACAGGAGAAGAGAAAGAAGAAGAATTAATTCAAAAGAAAATATAGTGTTTTAAAAACCAAATTGAAAGATAAAAATTAACATTATAAAATTACCATATGTTTTTAAATTTACACAGAATATTTATGTTATCCAAACAGGAAATGTCAAGACTTCTATAGAACTTAAGCATAGTAATCTTATTCCAGAAGATGGTATGGAGCCTTCTATCATTATCCTTGTGCAAAAGAAAGTTGGAAATCAAAGAACTGATCTTTTCTCAACACTTTTAGGAATCATATAAAATCAAAACCAATAATACAGATAAAGACAAATTTCAATTTCATTAACTTTGATTAATCTATGATAGATTCATCCAAATTAATTACCAACATAGTCCTATGCTGGCAGATGGACTTTGGCTTCATGTTCAAGTTTCATTAATACCAGTGTAAAATTGCCTGATATTTCATGTAAAAATGGTTTTTTTTTAAAAAAAAATTACAAACCTAGCACTCATTCTTATAAATTTACAAATCTGACAGTTGAAGTTTGATATTTTTATTTATAACAACTTTGTGCTAAAAATGTATGCATAAAAAGATGCATTTAATTTTTAAAAAGTTTCTAAAAATAATATTTTTTTATATTGTTTTAAATATTTAAATGTTATGAATGTAAATATTAAACTTTATGAGTTACAAATTTAAATACAAGAATTATATGGTTTGTATGTAAATGTTTTTCTTATATATATTTATTTAGGAATGATTGATTACATTACCATCAGAAATATTGATATTTATAAACTAATCATTCAGGTAATTTTTTTGAATTATTGAACATGTGTATTTACGTGTGTCACGATCTAACAACTAAGAATTTATGAGTTAGAATTTCATCATGAATTTTGATATTTGAACGAGAATTTGAAAAATGGATAAAAGAGAGGTTGAATTGTAAATAGCACTTTTTGTATGCAATTGCCTCATTTATTTCTAGGAGATGCATGTACATAGATGATATCATAATTTCTTACATACATATCACACAATTCCTATATATTTTATATGTCTAACACCTAAAAATTAAATATTTTCATGCATATCACCCAAATCCTTTATTTACATTAAAAATATCATAATTATTATTTTTTTAATGCGAAATATATTTCTAAAACATCAAAGTGTTATAAATATATATGTCAAAATTTAGAAATTAGATATGTAAATACATAAAAATTGTGTGGTATCTATATAAAATTTTCAATTAAAATTGTGAACAATACGCAAAGAGAGTCATAAGAATGTATAATATATTTATTACAATTATGAGTAGCATTTACTCATGAAAACTAGGGCTGGCAAAACGGCTCGTTGTTTGCGAACAACTTGTGTTCGGCTTGTTAGGAAGCTCATGTTCAACACGTTCGCTAAGTTAACGAGCCGAACGCGAACAACAAAAATAAAGATTTGTTCGTTCGTGTTTGGCTCGTTTTGGCTTGAAATACTACTAATCAATTATATCGGCTAGTTTTGCCTTGAAATACTGCTATATATATATATATATATTTGATGAGTAGTATTTTAAAAAAAAATTAATTGACGATAAGGCTACAAAGATTTATAATCAATTAAAAGTATTAATTAATAAAATAGAATAAAAATTATTAAATTAGATTCAAATGCTATTTTATTATAAATAATAATTTTTAAATCTTGTCTCAATCCTTAACTTCTTATGACTACATGATTAGGGTTGTCAAAACGACTCTTTGTTCGTGAATGACTTGTGTTAGGCTCGCTAAGCAAACAAGTTGAACACGAACACACTTTTTGAGTTCAAAATATAAATGAGTTGAACACGAGTACGTTTCGTTTACACCCGTAATAAAAACGAAATGGATGACTGTCCTAAACATATAAAATATATAAAGATATCCTACTAGTAAACGGGCAACATAATTGCAAGTTAATTGTTTATTTAGTTGATTACCCTCATGAAAATATTGATTTATTATTGGTTTACTAAAGCATTACTAACATATTTTATTTGTCATTTCATGCATAAATTCATTGATAGTACGTTTCTATTAAAATTAAATGTAATTAATGAATTAATATGAAAATTAATATTTAACTTACAATTAATATGAAAATTAATTTCAAATATGAAAAGTAATATTTAAATATTAAATTTAAATATGAAAATTGATATTTAATTTTTAAATTAATATTAATATTTAATTGATATGAAAATTAATAAATTATTATTTAAATTAATATTTTTAAATCTCTAAATGCTTTACTTGATCTTAAATCTCCTTCTCATACGAAAAATAAGATTTTATTTATAATTTTTGACATTAAAATTTTAATTGTTATGTCCACAATCTCAAAATAATCAATCAAACTGTTGATATGAATTATATTTATTATAAAATATTATTTTATTAATTATCTAAAAATTAAATGATCTAATATATATTGGATTTATTTCGTTGAGAAGCTTCATTTCTTGATATACCCTAAATATTAAAAGATAGATTATAATGAAAATAAAATGACTCCTACACCAATCCTTGATAAGTAATGTTGCCTGGTAGAAATTCACGATAATAAAGTGATAACATAATATCTTAAATTTTAATAAAAATTTATCACACACAATGACAATGAAAAAATAGTAGGATGTGTCATTATGATTTCTTTCGTGGAAAAATTCAGAAAAATAAATAACCAGGTGCCTAGTCCCGTCAAAATAATCAATTATAAGTGTGTAAATACAAATGTACATTATTTTCTCACAACTATGAGAACGTGATTACTATTCTACATCAATTATAATAGTTATTGGTATATAAAGTTTGCAAACAAGAGTTGCCCATTGACAGAAGGTAGGCAACGACAAACAATGACAGTTGGTGGAGTTAACAGTGGCTGACTGACGGTGGTCGGTGGCTAAAAAACTTGGGAGTTACCGTCGTCTTTTCTATTTGAGACGAGCTCTAAAATTCCCCTGAAGAGAGAGAGTCTATTTATAGTCTCTAGGATATTGACACTTTAGACTTTTGACAAATGATTGCTCCAACAACCTGATTGAACGAGTCATATTGATCATCTTTGATAATAAGTTTTTCCAGTTGAGACTCTAGCTTTAAATATAAACATGTCAAATTTGGAGTTCATTTGACAATTCAAATGACAGCCCATAGCCTCCAAATGTGCTTCAATGACTTGTTCCAGGGTTGATTGGACCCCAAATTAACCCAACTTTGATATCGTTTGGTTTGATGGCCAGCTTGACTATAAGTTTTTTAAATCGGGGTCTTAAATGATATTGAATCCAAATTTAAAATATTAATTATTCAAAAAATACATCGAAAGTCTTGATAGTGAAAAAAAGTTCTTGATGACTGCTTCACGTAAATATCAATTTGCTGCTATTAGATATCTAAATGCATAAGAAGTGTATTGTATGTATATAAATTTATCGCATACAACGATATATTTGGGAGCTACATGAATTTGAGGTACTCTTATAAATTAGAGTGTGCTCGATTAATATCCCTTTTTATTCCATTAGATAAAAGCATGAAAAAAACAGCGCATAAGCAGACCAAAAGGGAGTCAAATTGAGGGAAAATTATGATATGGATGCATCTACCGTTGATCAAAGCACTTTTTTTTAAAAAAAATTTAAAATGGGGCCCACCGAAATACATATTTCCTGTGATCAACGGTGGAGATCAGACACATACATGCAGTGTCTCCATGTGGAATAATTTTTCCAAGTTGAGGGAATGATATGCAATTTATAAGATTTTTATAATTATTTTTATATATTTATAATGTTTAAAAGTTTGTTTCTTGTTTAAGTCAATAATAATAATAATTTTATATAATTTATTTTAAATAAGCCAATATTAATCTACCGCTCTAACTGGGATAAAAGGCGTTTCGTATCGTTCAGCTGGAGGAAAGGAAACCCTGAGTAAAGTGTAGGAGAATGGCCAAATCGAAGGGATCTTGCTTTCACATAATGGCTTGCGCCTGCGGAGAGTCTGCCTCCTCTGACGAGCTGATTCTGCGGGAGGTATTCTCTTGTTGTTTTATCGATGATTTCAGTCTATGTTTACCTTTAAGCTTAGCATTAGCCAGTAGATTGTTACAGAGATTGCCATATTTGGCGGCGTAATATTGAACAGAGGGATTCTACTGGCATTGTGTATTGTTCGTCTCTTCTTGGATTCGAATAAGATCTGGAGTGTATCCGTGATCAGGAAATGTCTGTAATGACGAACTAAGTTTTTTTATTTATATAAGATGGGTATAGAAGAAGGTCCTAACAATGACCTAAAAATAATTATTAGCCTGCTTTCAACCCGTATTATTACTTTTATGGTTGATTACAGTTCGGAATATAGGTGAGTTTTTAGATCTGCATAAGCCGAGAGAAATATTTAGTAATTTTGGTTTCGATGAATGATGTGAATCAAATGCCAGTTTGGATTCTGTGTTATATTTGGTGTCTCGTATGTAAATTCTCAGTAGTTCTCAACAGCGAACGGCCGCAGTTATAGAATGTTGTGCTTTTGCGGTTGATGTGGTCTGTCGGTAGAAATTCTGATCAGCTTATTTATCTTTTCCATTCTCCCATGGTGTTCCTGAATTCTCCAGTGATATGCTTCCCGAGTCTCTTTTTTGCTGACAAACTGTTCACCTTTGGGCTGCTGTGAGAAGTCAATCTCGCTTCTGTTCTTTTGTACTCCTGCATGATTCTACTGTCTCGTATGAGTTTATGGAAAGGGTTGCATCAAATAGAGTTCAAGTTTGACTGGAATTGAAATATTCAAATCTGAAATTGAATTTTACTTCGAGACAATTTGAGTTACCTATCATTTTGTGTATCAAAATCATGTAATGCAATTTTTTATTACAATGGAGTTTGATTCCAACTCAGCTATAATTCATGTTGAATTTGCTGAAATCCACAAGTTTTGAGGGAATCAAATAAACTCAATTGATCTAAAGCTAAAGAGATTCTATTTGACTAGAACTTAGTTTAGTTCTACTTCAACCCAAACAAGCTGGAATTCATGCTAATACATCAATTCAGTTTGAAAAGATTTCCAAAAAACGAAGATCCTATACTCCATACTATGAGCTGGTCTCTTCTTTCTTATAAGATAAGTTCACCCTTAGCGCACTAAAGTCTACTTTGAAAACATGTGCCATTACATGGGCTTATCAAGGGTCCCTTTGAGGCAACTTTATTCGCTACTTTATATTCTAGAAAGTTGCCACATTTATGTTTAGCTACAATTTTTTTGATCCTTTCAAAAATTTTGGTGGTGTGAAGCAGTTTTTGAATCTACATAGAACTTTTTTTTTAACATTGTTTTCATTTTCCCACATACTATTGATCCTCACTTCCCATTCATCTATCTTAAGCACTCCACTTGATGTCAACCCTATTATGAGGTTTTCTTCACTACTTCTAGTAATGCATAGAACAGCTTTGGAACATAAAAGTAGTTCCATCCATAGTTTTTTTTTATCTATTAATGTAGATGTGTCAAAAAATATTTCTCCCCATTCATCTATCTTAAGCACTCCACTTGATGTTAACCCTATTATGAGGTTTTGTTCACTACTAGTCATGCATAGAACAGCTTTTGAACATAAAAGTAGTTCCATCCATTGTTTTTTTATCTATTAATGTCGATGTGTCAAAAAATTTCGTTTTAAACTTTTAGTAGACATGTTTGTCTGGGGAACCTTTTGAAGAGTTACTGCTGACTTTAACTTGGTAATTCCTTACTCGTATTGAATTATTTTCTAGCGGTTTAAGAGCATTTCAATCCACTTTTTCAGAGCAAAGCCTCATCAGATAAATCTCGGTGGAGTTTTCGAAAGAGAGTATCTAGCCCTCGAGTGCTTAGTAAGAATGCCATTTTAGAGCCTGAGTCTGTTGGCTATAATACGGATAATATGGAGGCAACCTCAAGCAATTTCAATTCATCAATAAATGCATGTGTTTCAGAGAAGGCTTCCAGTCAGACGAATCCCTCTAAGGAAGAATTCCCTACAGAACCATCACTGTCATCTACAATAGTCAATTCCAAAGTTTCTGCTACAGTTATTACACGAAATGGTTCCAACAATGATAAAAATATTCTAGAATCTGCAGCAATTATCATCCAGTCTGCTATTAGGGGGTGTCTGGTATTCTATTGTTTTCTTTTCATTTTGGCTTTTATTTTTTCTGGGATAATCTGATGCAATTCTCTTAATATTAATAAATTCTTCTATATTTTAAAAATCATCCAGGGTGTAAGAAAACTTGAAGAGGTTAAGAATGTTATCAAGTTGCAAGCTGCTATACGTGGTCACCTTGTCAGGACACGTGCAGTTGGTACTTTACATTGTATCCGAGCCATTACCAAAATGCAAGCAATTTTTCGGGCTCGTTTTGCAAGTCAACTACAAGAGAAGGATGCTGGCACGCTGGTTACTAAACTTGAAAGCAGTAGAAGTGGCTTATACACCCTGGTAATGCTTTCCTACCTCTCAAAAACTTTTGGCAGTGTGACACCATTGAAAAGTTGTCTTGGTAGTTCCTAACTTGTATGCTTCTATTGCCACTTTTGTTTCTTAGTTATTATTAATTATAGCCTCATATGATGTAATGAAAACCTCTGTGTATGGCAGAAAAAAATCTGGTTAGATCATCAATTAAAAGCTCCTTGCCCTTATTGATGTTGCTCTCTTCTTTTAGATTTGTATTAGTCACTTTTTAGAATAGTAAACCCATCAATGGGGGTCATTCATTTATTGTATGTTAATAATGTAATGCAGAAGCTAAGTTCTCTGCTTTAAGAAAAATATAATAAAGTAGTTAACATCTACTACTTCAATAAAAGACATAAGATACATTCTAACATTGATACAACATGCTACAAAATAAAAAGCGAGTGCAAAATTAGAAAAGCCTATCCTTAATGGCAAAAACTCGGGCCCGGGTCCCATTCAACTTGACATCTTTGGTTTCTAAACCTCTCCATGCCGCTTTCAAAAGATGAAATATGATGGTGTGATCATTGGCACCAACTATAGTGCAACACACGACCCCCATGGTATGAGGGTCTTGCCTCATCCCTCCACTTATACATGATGAAATCCATAATGATTAATGGCTAGCTCTCTACTCCTAGTTAAGCTCTTCCAAATAGATTTGGTTTGCATGTCAATATTGTCAATTTTGGCCACCTTCTCTCATGATTTTGTCTTGGTGAGAACTACTTGTGCGATGACCCATAGCTTATCACATAATTTTTATATGACTGAGATGTGGACTAGAGTTGGAATGTTTAATTTTGACCTTGGGATTGTACATCATCTTTATCATGAAATTTGTGTTTTAGAATCGTGTTTTTTATCTAATATTAATGGAAAAAAAATAATGATTTTAAATTTTTTTATGGTTCATTTCAATTAATGTTACTTATTTAGTTCACTTGTGTGGCATAACTATAAGTTTCTAGCATTGCACGAGATTTGGTAAAATTCAAAAGTGAATTTTAATAGCCTCTCTACTTTGCCCAATAACCAGTGAAATTTATCGATATGATGACATTTTCCGATTAATAAAGGTTCGATTTGTGATTCAAAATGTAATTATATTATTTACCCTACAAGGAAAATTGAAGGGATTGCTTGTCTCAAGGGAGACAGTGGTCTAAAGCATGAAGGCTTCTATTGTTATCCCTATATTATTGAATGCTGAGCTTGATGTGATGGGAGAAGCTAATCTTTGTGTAGGAAATTTAGCTTGAAATCAACGCCTTTATAATGCTTTGCTCATTTATCTGAATACACTGACGCGTTCCCTCATCAAGAAGGTGGGTCCTGGGGGATTGCCTTCCTTTCCTCGTAGACACTTTGTTACTCTCTTGTTTTTCTTTCTTATGTGATGTAAGCATAAATGAGTAAGAAGATGAATATCACAAAGCTCCTAATAAATAACTTTTGGAGTGGCGCTCACTTTATAATAGGGAGCTTGGTTAATGAGGAGAGAGAAAATTGCCCAGCAACAAGGCTTGATTTAGGATGATTCTCAACTAGAAATTGAACCTGGAAGACCCGTATGATCATTTTTTACTCTATTTTGAGTTCAATATCTTTCATTTGGAGCTTCTTTAAATATAGATTTTGACTTCAGCTTACATTTGTATCAAACTAGATTTTGAAATAAATTGATTGGGTTAATTAAGCTTGAGATTAAGTGTTTTGTCATTAAAATAGACTATCGGGGTAATCATGCGTTAAAGTGGGTCGATTAGGGCCAACTCAATTAACCTAACCATGAGTCAATCAACCTATGTTGAGACTCTATCAGACCAAATTAGATCAAATTCTTTTATTGTTCTGCTAGATGAGCATTTGACTAAATTTGTGGCTCAATTCAGTTGATTGTATTTTTCAAAAGGCCAATCTGAAAGTTAGGTGAGTTTTTTTGACATGATTTGGGTAATTTGTTTAGTGATTTATTTGATGTGAACTGATTAGGGTTGTCTCTATCAATCGGTTGGAGTCAATTAAATGAATCTATGCCAAATCTAGAAAATGTGGATTTTACCTGTGTCAACTTTCAGTCCACTTATTTATTGGGACCAATCAAATCACCTATGATTAAAATAGATCCAACTGGCCTAGTCACCAGGTCAAAATAAATTAAATTGGGCGAGTACTGGTTAAATGATATGAAGAAGGATCAACCTAAGTCTCTTGGCTCAATTCTGACAAGTACTTATATGGGTCTGATTGGGTATAACCAGGTAAATTGAGTGAACGTAGGTTCATCCGACATTCATTAACCTATTTTCAGGCTTGAGCAATATCTTTAGATTGATCAAGGGCTATATTAACTTTATTAAGAGCAATTAAAATCAAATTTGATTTTTTTAATTCTATTTTGGTCAATTAATTTTATCATTTTATCACAACAACACATTTTGAAACAATATTTGAATTGTAGTGGATATATATCATAAATTTAAGGGTAGACAAACTCGATATAAACCATTAGATAAAATGTTTTCTCCAATAATCTTTGAACTATAAATCATTTTTATTATTGGCCCTTCCATCAGTAAAATTAAAATGATAACTACATTTGTTTGGTATAAAAATTAAAATCAACTTTTATCTAATGGTTGGTGCATAAACAACATCTTTTGAAATACATTCAATATCTTATTCTAAATGTAAAATAATTGACTCCTTAATAGGACTTCTGTTGAAGAAAAATAGGGACCGCTTGGCAACTCAAGAAAAACCAAGGACTAGACTGTCGAACACCTGAAGAAAACCAAGAACTGGACTACCAAACAAAAATAAACAATAAATGCCGAACACTGCCTTGACAGCCGAAGGAGAGAGAAACCGCAACAGGCAAGAAAACTGGAAAAAGAAACGAAAAATGATAACACGCAAACAAGAAACAAGAAAACCCAAGAATTATGTGGTTCGGTCCATAGGACCTACATCCATGGGAGGGAAATCAACCATCAAATCCACTAAGACAACAAAGAAGAATTATAAGACTTTTACATTGAGGAATGAGCTCTCCTCTTGCCATGATCTATCTCTTGAATCTCCTCGATACAAAATCTCCAAGATCAATGAGCTCTCATTTTGTCATGATCTCTCTCTCGAACCACCACGATATAAGATCTTCAAGATCCTCCCCCTCAATTCTTGAAGCCTCTCCTCTTCTTTCTCTAACCAATTGATTTGTTTTCCCTTGACCCCCATCTCTACAAGCCTCCCTCATTTATTTATAACAAAATGAGGCCTTCCAAGTAGACCCGATTCATCAATTGGAAGCTTCTATGAAATTACAAGTTTGTCATTGCCTTAGTTAGCCAATTGTGAGTCATTGTAACAATTCTCCACATTGACTCTCAATCAATTCTCCACATTGACTCTCTCCACATTGACTCTCAATTACAAAATCTTGAATAGAGATTCCCTCCACCTAGCCCCGAAGTGCCCTTAGCCCTTGATCTTTTTTCCTTGTTCTTCTCTTTCTCGGACATCTCGGTCGGCAATGCCGCCGGCCCTTGCAAAGCTTCTGCGACACCTTGCTGCACCAATAGATCTCTCATCTTGAATCTCCACAGGCCGAAATCATTCTTTCCGGTGAATTTCTTGAGGCCGAATTTGGCGGTTCCCATTGTCGTGGCCAGGTTTCCCACTGACGGCGCCAATTGTTGGAAAACTGTCCCACCGAACACCTTAAATATTCCAAAGAACTGCATATTGAGTTAGATGGGAAATAACTGAATAACTGAATTGCCAAATAAAATTTTCTGCACTCCCAAGGACCGAAGGACTGTAGCCCAGAAACTTTGACTGCCGCGGAACACCTTGCTGCAGCGACTGGATTGTCCAAGAATACCTTCAGCTTGCTGTAATTGCTGAATACCACCTTGCTGGAGGCCAACAAGAATAGGATTGCTGAACTTGCTGCAGGCCAACAAGAACTTGAAAATGTCGTTCTTATTCTGTGAGAACCTGCAGTTGATGAAGGCCACCTGCTGGACAGCGGAATTCCCCTGTAAGTTTCGAAGAGCCAACTTGCTGTACCGGCGAAGGAATGCCAAATAATTGCAAGCTCCTTGCTGCCGAATTCCTGCAGGTTTTGGACAGCCGAATACCTTTAAGTGCTGCTAGAAGAGCACCTGCAACTCGCCTCCCTAAACCTGGGCTTCGGCTAAATCCCTGTAGCTATAGAACAGAACTACCGAAGAATCGAATTGCGAAATCTCAGATGAAGGAGAAATTGCAGCAAGCAAGAACAGTGAAAACAGAAAGAAAAGTTGCAGGAAATGAAATGCAAGACAAGAACACGAGCACCAACGACTTACGTGGTTCGGTCCATAGAGCCTACATCCACGGGAGGGAATCAACAACAAATCCACTAAGACAATTCAAAAGAAATTACAAGGCCTTTTACATTGAGGAATGAACACACCTCTTGATTTCTCCCTCTCAAAATTACCTCGATACAAGATCTCAAGACTCCCCTCAATTCTTGAAGCCTTTCCCCTTCTTCTTCTTGAACTGATTTTCTTCCTCTTTTTCTTCTTAGTTCTCTCTCTCTATAAATCTCTCTCATCTATTTATAACTAAATGAGGCTTCTCATGTAGACCCGGTTCACCAAATTAGGAGCTTCCATAGCTTCTATAGAATTACAAATTTACCATTACCTTAGCTAATTATGAGTCAATTATAACAATTTCCAATATACATTATTCCATACTTTGAGCTTGGACTTAATCCCCCGTGGCTTCTATTTGTTTTTAAATCTTTGTAAAGCAGCAGTGATATGAACTAATGTACCATTGTTAAGCCACAAAAATTTAATGGGATCGTTAAGTAAATTTGTTTCACAATAAACAAAAGCTAATTGGTTCCTTTTATATTATTTCTTTGTCTTTATCCAGGGATAAAATTTTGTAATTAGCTTTTTTGTGATCCACTTAAATATTGTCTTGATCTGACTACACGGTTTATGCAAATGCACGATCCGTACTAGTGATATAAAATAGTATTGTTATTAGCTTTTTTGGGATGTTCATGAAGAAACAAATATTTTGTGGGATAAAGTAACAAACATTATTAAACAAGTAGCAAAATATGTACTTGAAGAATCAAAAGAAAAAGTTTCTATAAATAAAAATAGTTGGTGATGGAATAATAATGTGCAAGAAAAGATAAAATAAAAGAAGATATGTTATAAAAATTGGTTTAAATGTAAAAACTTAGAGAACTGGAAAAAATATCAAATTGTCCGCCGGGAGTCTAAAAGAACAATCTGTGATGCTAAAAATTCTGTTTTTAGTGATATTTATAATAGATTAGATACTAAGGAGGGTGAAAAATAATTGTATAACCTAGCCAACAAAGAGAAAAGAGATGTAAAAATTTAACTCAAGTAAAGTGTATTAAAGATGAAAATTAAAAATTATGTTTTTAGAAAAAGATATTCAGTATAGGTGGGTGAGTTATTTTAAGATTTTTTTTAATAAAGTTTCTAAAAATACAAAAAAGTATGATCAACCTTAGTGATCTTAATATCGTTAACAATAATAAAATGTTTCATTTTTACCGTCACATTAGTAAAAAAAAAGTTGAGGAGGCTTTAAAGAAACTAAGGGTGGAAAGTCGGTAGGACCTGATGATATCACAATTAAAGTGTGAAAATATTTAGGATATTTGGGAGTTTCTTGGCTTACTAAACTCTAATATTTTTATAAAAAACTAAAAAGATGCCTGAGGAGTGAAGAAAGACTATTTTGGTCCCATTTTAAGAATAAAGGGATGCACAATGTGCAAATTATAGAGGAATGAAGTTGATGTGGGTAATTGAACATAGATTAAGACATACTACAAAGATTTTTGATAATCAATTTGGATTTATGCCGGGCAGGTCTACTATGGAAGCTATACTTTTTTTGAGAGGTTTGATGGAGAAGTTCAAAGATGGTAGGAGGATCTACATTTGATTTTTATTGATTTAGAAAAAGCTTACGATAAGATTCCAAGAGATATCCTTTGGAGAGTTCTTGAGAAGAAAGACGTTGATATGACTTATATTCAAGTCAATAGAGATATGTATACTAGAGTTGTTACTTGTGTTCGAACTGAAGGTGGGTTGACCAAATATTTTCCTATTGCTGTTGGATTACATCAGGGATCGTCTTTAAGCCCATATCGTTTTTCTTTAGTTATGGTTGGTTTTAGTGGACATTTACGGGAGGATTTACCTTGGTGTATGCTTTTTGCTGATGATATCCTTCTTGTGGATAAGATGAGAGAAAAAGCCCAGGAAAAACTTAAATTATGAAGATTTACATTGGAGTCTAAAGGCCTTCATTTGAGTAGAACTAAAACTGAATACATGGAATGTAAATTTAGTAGTAATAGTTCAGTGATAGAACTGTAACTTTAGGTGATCAAGTTAGTGTAAACGATTTAGATATCTCGGTTTCGTTGTTCAAAGCGATGGTGATATAGACGGGGATGTTAATAGTAGATTTCAAGTTGGTTGGTTGAATTTGAGGAATGCTTCGGGCCTTTTGTGTGATAGAAATGTATTGCTTAAACTGAAAGGAAAATTTTATAAAATGGTGGTGAGACCTGTAATGCTCTATTGCGCTGTATGTTGGCCTTTAAAAGAGAAGCATAATACTAAGTTAAGTGTTGCCGAGATGAGAACGATTAGGTGGATGAGTTTTACACTTAGAGACAAAATGCGAAATGAATATATCCGTGATAGGGTTAGTGTAGCTCCAGTGACGAACAAAATTAGAGAGAGTCGTCTTAGATGGTTTGGTCACATTAAACGTCGACCATCTGATGATCCGATTAGGAGAGTAGATGTTTTATATCCGACTTATGTTAAGAAAGGCAAAGGTAGACCTAGGAAGACTTGTGTTTATTGTATAAAAAATTATCTTAATTTATTAGAACTAAATGAAAATATGACACTAAATAGGATGCAATGGAGAAAAAAGATTCATGTAGCCGACCTTACGTAGTGTTATTAAAGCTTTGTTGTTGTTATTGTATTGTTCCCACAAGAGTCAAAATTGAAACTTTATAAGTTAATTTCTAATTTTATATTATCCTAGTTTTTATTCAATCATTTCAATTGATTTAATTTTAAAAAAGCATGAAAAATTAAATTACTTAATTATTTGGATTTAACAATTGGAGAGGAAGCACTTTGGACTTATGATCTACCTATACTAATTTCTCGCATTTTCTTCAGTTTAAATGAATTATTTATCAATCAAGAATAATTATATTTTCTAATTAATGTCATTAAATTCAAAACCCTAATTATTTTTCTTAATTCAATGTACATTTGTATGAACTAAAATAATTGATTGCATTAATAATATTTCTTCATGAATTGCAAATTCCTACATATGTCTATCCTACTCAAGAATTTGTCAATTTAATTCTTGTTGTTCTTCTATTATTTTTCTAATTTCTATAGATCACACTAAATTTTAATTAAGCATATGACCAATACATAAAATAAATAAGGATTTGAAGTAAATTGAATATTTTTTTAGTAGTCAAATAACCAATACAAGAATTGCACAGGAAATAGTATAAATAAATAACAAATTCAATGATCACACATTTTAGTCATTCTTTCACAAAGAAAATCACAAACAAAATTTAACATTATTTCAGAATTTACTAAATAACATAAAGTTGGGAAAAAAGAACTAGATATAGATTGATTTCTGCTCCTTGGACTCTCTTCTTATTCTTCCCGTGTGCTCTCTACAATGCTCTTACACACACTAATCTACCCTGCAAGTCTACTCGAGAACTCCACGCTACACTCTTTAAGCCCCTATATTCGTCAGTAAGTGGGTCCCATATAATAATTCCCCAAACAAACTTGATAAATCTCCAAATCTGCTTGAAAGCTGCTTAAAATTGATTCTGTCGGTCGTAAACATCAACATTGCTTTTGTAGCGCTGCATCATTACATATAGCACCTCAATGCGCTTCTTTAGTGCCTCAACACTGTTTTCTTTGTTTTTGGAATGGGTGTAGTGCCTCATAGCGACTCAGCACTGCTACGACAGTTAAAACATTTTATTTTTGTTTTTTTTAATTTATTTTCAGTCTTTTAGTTCATCGTTGTTTTATTTGCATCATTATTTGTGCCTTCAACATAAGGTGATAATTTTATCTCAAAAATAAATTTTTTATTATAATAATTGATAAAGCAGTCGTTAAAACATTTTGTTTTTTTTTTAAATTATTTTCAGTCTTTTAGTTCATCCTTGTTTTATTTGCATCATTATTTGTGCCTTCAACATAAGGTGATAATTTTATCTCAATTGTAATATTTTTTATTATAATAATTCATAATTAAATTTAACTCACTTATTCAATAAATATTCTTAAACTCACGCTATTATAATCATACAGATCCCTGAATTTATCCAGCAGTAAAATTATTAAGCAATTATTTTAGATGAAAAATAGTCTTGTACAATCAATTAGTAAGTATGTATAATAAATAAATAAATATAATAAGCCTGAGTTTTACTTAACCAATATTTGTATTGAAACAAGTTTCTCAAGTGCTTGATAGTGCTATTGTATTGATTCGTCTGAATTTAATTTATTTTGTTATAATTTTTATTACTTATCATTTAAAATCAAAATGCAATGTGTTCTCCAGAATATAAACTATTTAATTTAAATTGATAACCACTCTAATTTTAAGATATTCTAACAATGAAGTCAAATCTTGACTGGCCCTTCCTTCACCCATATCCTATTGTCTCAGTGGAAGGCTATACTGAGGTATCCCAAGCAAGCGGGATCACGCTTTTTTTCCCGCTTCTCCTTTAAGTGATGAATTACTGCAATAAAGGAAAATAATCATAAAATTTAAGCTGCTGATATTGCTGTCAAGCATACTAATGAAAGCTGTCATTCTTTATTTCATTAGACATGAAAAGTTGCTTTATCACCTGCAGACCAAAATACTTATCCAATTGCCATGGCAATTTGATAAAAAAATTTCTTTCTCCAGGGGAAAGGTACCTTCTGCGAAGGAACTAAAAGTTTTTATTCATCCAAGAAGCTACTTTCCAATAGATTTGTTCAGCAGTTCTTTCATAGGAACATTTTTATATCCCTGATTAGCTTTCGGTTATCACTTTTAATACGTGTAAAATTTGTTGATAAGATGCTGGCCTCTACACCTAAGACCAGACCTATCAACACCAAGTGTGATCCTTCAAAATTAGATGAGGTGTGGAAATGGCTTGAGAGGTGGACGGCGATAATCACCTCACAAACTGAAGAAGAAAGTCATCAACATTTGAAGAAAAATCTTTCAGCTAATTCGAAATCAGGTCTAAGTGAATTGTCTGCAGCATCTGAAAGTAAAGCTGATTTGAATGCAAGAAGTACAAGTAATCTAAGGATTAGATCTACTGTTTGTCTTTCTGACAGTTGCATCAGTTCAATAGAGAATAATGAAGAAAGTGACATTGAGATTAAAGAAGCTTCTAAACAATCTGATTCTTTTTCTGCACAATTAGCTCTTAAAACAGATGATTATTCGTCCAATAAAAATGAATCTAGAGGGAATAATATGAATAACCATTCCAAAAAGGAGCAGTATGGACCATCAGAAACTGAAGCTCGAAAGTCTGCAATCTGGTCCAGGAGATCTTCCAATCCAACATTTGCTGCTGCTCAGTCAAAGTTTGAAGAGCTGACCTCTAATTCCAAAAATGTTAAGTGTAATAGCTCTTCTAGTTTCGCTCATCAAGATTGTGCAGCTGATTCTATCATTCAAGTTGCAGCTTCTGAGTGCGGGACAGAAATTTCTATTTCCTCTACGCTTGACTCACCAGACAGATCAGAAACAGAGTGTGGAGAAATTATCTTAGAAATAGGTTCTATTGATAAGCATAATTATGATGCTGATAAATGTTCTGATAATCTATTCATTATTGCAAATAAGGGTGCTGAATCTCAGGCAAGCGAATCAAACAAGCTTGAGGAAGCCGTAATATGTGCATCCCTTTCATCTAAAGCTCCTGATATGGCTCCACCTGCAAATTTTCAACTGGATGTGACATCTGTTGAAGGAACTCCTAAAAGTCACCACACTATACTTGAGGCATATGGTACTCCATCCAGTGAAATTTCAGTGAATGTTGGGAGCAGAAGTAAAGGCAGCAACACGCCGAGCCAGAAGCAGAGTTTTACAGGATCTGGGAGTAAACTGGCCTCCACAGCAAGCACTGCAAAACTTTCATTAAATGGTTCGAAGAATGGAAAAAGGCGGCAATCCACAGGAATGTCAGGAACGGACCTTGAAGATGAACCCAGAATGAGCAATAGCAACAGCAATTCCCTTCCAAGTTACATGCAAGCCACCAAATCAGCAAGGGCCAAGATCCATGCAAATAATTCTCCAAAATCAAGTCCAGATTTGCAGGATAAAAATAACCACATTAAGAAGAGACATTCTTTGCCTATCGGTAACGTGAAGCAAGATTCATCCCCACCAAAGCTAAGAGCACAACAGAATGCAAAGAGCAATGGCATGCATGGCCCTCATAATAACGGTAATTTCAGACTTATATTACTAATGCAGATCTCTAAGCTTTATAACACTAAACTGAAATTCTACTTTTGCAAAGCTGAATTGCAAAGAAGATTAACTTTTTTTAAGAATAAAATTCTGTTATAAAAAAATTTTAAAATTGAGGGTAGGGAACAATACCTAGTACAGATAAATCCAATATTTTGTTGTTTTAACATAGAAAGCACCCTAAACAGTACTAAAGAAAAGTTAAGGACATTAATTTTCTTTGGTTTTTATTGAACTTGAATCATTATTCTCCCTGAGCTTAAGAACAGAGTCAAACTAGAATCGTTTTGTCCTAGTATATGCTTTGTCAATTTATTTCAATTGGACTTTGTAGTTGGTACTGATGTAGCACACCGCATTAGAGACAGATTATTTAACCAAATAACAGTGAAAAATCAAATATTATTGTTGAATTCAAATAAGGGAGGTGAGTTGTACTGCCTAGGGGTTTGGACCTCCGGAGAGGTAGCAAAGGGGCATTTAGCAGCTGGATGGTGGGGCGGCTGTAATAGAATGATGGCAGCACCAAAGGGGAGGTGAGATACTGCAGGGACGGTACGAGCGTTGACTATCCTGGTGGCAGCAGGAAGGCCTTGGGGTGGGAGCAGTAGCAACAGCAGGGTTTGGCTGTCCCGGGGTACTGGAAGGAGGGAAGATGGCTGGAAAGGCTGGAAACTGCAGGGAAAACAGCAGCTCCTTGTAGCTCTGGGAGGTTGAGGGAGATCATTACAGGAAGGAAGGGGAAGGTTGGAGGAAGGATCAACACTACCTCGAGAGCGTGATAAAGCCGGAGAACCATTCGGTCCCTTGGATACAACCTATAAGGGAAGAAGAGATGCTGACGGCTGTCCCAATACATAACATAACAAAAACTAAAAGCTTAAACATCACAAAGGAAATAAATAACCCTAAGATAAGTAGCAGTATTGAAAAGAGGCACTACATCTCTTAAAAGAGCTGTCCAGCCCCTTTGGAGACCTGGATTAGCTCCGTCTAGGCGTCCGAACACGATTCCTGCGTCCTTCTAGGCGTCCAAACACGACTCCCGCGTCTGTCTAGCCGCCCCCACCTGACCCCTGCGTCAAAAGTTTTCCACTTTACTGAATTCAAATCATATATAAAAGAGCTAACAATAAATTAACTTAATCTGAGATTAAGCAATTATACCCAAGTTGTTTTCGTTAAATTTACTGATAGCCTTGATTTTCTTGACAAATTCATTCTAAATTTGGGGTAGGCTCGATGCAGTTAGGCCTGGTTCTCTGAGTTCCTGCACAGATTACTAATTTCAAAATGTATGATTTCCTCTATGCTAACTACCTTGAAACTTAGCGTCGATTTATGTTGCTGAATATACATTAGAGTAATGGGCTAATGAACGATACGTAATCAAAGAAATGAGATCAAACCAGTAGAAATGATATATAAGCAGGCGTGGTAGATTTTGGGCACTGTGATCCTAATTGACTGTTTGAATAATTCATTTAGAAAACTAAACAAGAACATGTATTTGCTTCTTTACTCAATACTTATGTTTTAAAAATGATGCTTTGCATAATGAAGGTAATCGATTACTAATGTTTTACTAATTTTGCATTGAACCAGACCCCTCATAACTTGGCATGTGTAGAACTACGTGCGTAAAGTAAGCGCAGATAACCATATAGGGTTTTAATTGAGTTAAGCTGGGCTTGAGTCATGCTTAACTCGAGCTTTGCTTGTCTGTCAAAAATGCAAACTTGAGCTTGAGACTAGCTTGAATTGTGTGCTTGGTTCTCAAAGATGACAACAGGCTCATGAGCCGGTTCTCAAGCTTGAACCAAAATTCAAATTATCATTGGATTTCACCAGAGAAAGCATCAATAGCTGGAGAAGGAGAAGAAGAAGTGTCAAAGCAGCTTGCCTTAGAAGGCATTGATGTGGCCATCGATTAACTAGTCAATCCGGCTCGTGAGCCAACGAGCTGAGGCTAGACAAGAATGAGCTCGAGCTCAATTAATAAATGAGCTTGAGTTTGCACTTAAACTCGAGCTTTTAGCTTGATAAACTCGGCTCCTGAGCTTACACTTCTTTTGGTGTATGCTCATGCGTACAACTATATACTGCATTTGAGCGTGCTCCCATTTTTCAAATGCAACTTTATGTTCATTGCCCCTAACTAAGCTAACAATTTCTCCTAAATTTATTTTTCAGATTGCAAAACATGCATGCATTGTCTTATGATGCTTTACATTGACTAGGCTATCATAATAACAAAAAATTCTTCCTCTAAAGATCAATCCATTTTTTTTTGCAGCCATAATAATGCTTTATCTTTATGCATGTTCATCATTTATAAACATCATCAACTAAACCAATTTGCGAATTACATATTTTTCTAATGTTAAGCACAAACTAACACGTTTTTTCAGAAAGGAGATGGCAGAGATGATTCGGAATTATGGATCCGTTTCAGAAAGTTGCTTCAATGCTCATCCGAAAAAAAGTATTTTTTTTGTGTTTTGAAGTGTGTCTATATATAGTTAATTTACCTTTAATATTGTCTGTACTCTATTTTTTTAAGATTGTGTTTCCCCATTGAAACCATTAAACGTGTGTGATATAAGCAAACAATTCAAGCTTCAGGATTATATTGTAATGAATTAAAATGATATGAGCTATTTTATTTTCATTAATCTATGTGAATGCAACGAATGGTTCACTTAGGTAGGTATGCATATATATATATATATATATATATATATATATGAGACATGAAAAAGGTCTACTGATATTACAGAAGACTATTCTGCTCATTTTTAAATTTTTTGGTTTTTACTTGTGAAATCCAGGAATGTCTTCCTATATAGTTCATTTTATTTGCATTTTTTCTCAGGAAGATTTACATACATAACCTTACATGTACGTTACCTAGCTTGCATTTGCATGAATATATATATATATATATATATATTAAAATATAAATAGTGGTATTATTTATGTGATATGAAAATTTTGAGTGATATAAGTGTAAAAAATAAAGTTAGGTGTTTGATTTGTAAATAGAAAAGAATTGTGTGGCATTTATGGCGGGAAAGCATACCTGATAAATGTATATCATTTTAGCTATTTATTTTGCTTTTTTTTTTGTAATTTGTTGGTGGGAAAAAAAAAAGGATGCGACGACTATGATATAGGAAACGGTCAAGGAATAACACTCATAAAAAAAATATTTGCATCTACAGAAGTTTTTTTAATGAAGAATAAAGCTACCTGCCTGTGTAAATTCACGATGCCTTCCTACTTATAAGAATTAACCTACCTTTCATGTTCAATCAGATCTTTCTCCACCCGTTCTCTCTTATGGCCACTAATTCAAGCTCACCAATTATATATGGGTAAATTGAAGATATGTCCGCACAAATCTTGAGGAAATTTAACGGATCTCATTGAGTAAATGCCAAAGGATTGCATCGGGAGGCAAAAGATAGAGACACTAAGCGTCGTTGCCTTTGTTTGGAACCTCGAGCTGACCAAATGAAAGCTCAGTTGAACGAAAGAATAAAAGGCACCTAATTAGAGAGACATTCAACTATAGCTAGCTTCTTGAAATAATTCTGGTATTCTTCAAAGAGATGGCCAAATGGCTCCCTGATATCTTTCCAATCCTCTCAGAAGATCACTTGTTCAAAGAGGAGTTGCTCATCAGACTATGGTAAAACACACTTTGCTTGATGTTCCAAGTTTACCCTAATGCAAGAGGGCCTCTATCGAGGATTCTTTGGAAGAGCAGACTAAAGAATTTCTAGCTGATCGAATGATTATTAGACAACCGAATAACAATACCAGTATGTCATTATATGATTTCCTTTTCAGCACTTACAAATATGAAAGATTACCAACATCAGTTATGGGTCCATGAGTTAGTTATAAATATGAAAATGTGCATTAATTACTTGTGACATCTACAAATAATTAATATGATAAAACACCATCTGCCCTTGCTGTTTTCTGGAAACAGAGAGCCTAACGTCTGGGTGCCTAGATACTGTCTGAGGTAGTTTTGAGCAGTTCTTCTAAAAGTTGTGCGGAGTTGATCAACAAGCCAAGGGAGATAATGGAGGAGTTTTGAAAGCTATATCAAAAAGAAGGAAGGCAGGACAAAAGGCTTGCAAAAGGATTGAGTAGGATAGGTTTTTATTGTCATTTGGTGAGGAATTGAGTTATAAAGGGAGGAGAGACTTCAGGATAACAGAAGGGATCAATATTCTTTTGAGTAGAGCATCTTCAATGCTTTGTAAAGGAGAAGAAGATAAACATTTGTACTGTTGTATTTCTTTGAACATATCAAATAGTAGATTTCCATTATTATTTTCAATGAAGGTTTGCGGTTTGTTTTTCATGCTTTTTGTGTAATTTTCTTTACCTTACCTTGTAAGGTTTGAGTAGTATGTATAAGATTGTAAAATATTTGAAATTTATTTTTAAAATTTTTAATGTGATGATTGACATTTAGAACTTCATTTACTATTCATTATAGCGAAGTTAATAGTTAAAATGTGTTGTGAACCATACTGACTCGAGATAGCTATGGAAGAATCAATTAGGTTAATCACATTGAACTATAGGGTATGGTGCAAGTACTTTGTAGGGAGATGCAAATGTTAAAGAAACAATCTTTAAAGGGTTCAAAACGGGATTTAAGATATTAAATTCATTTTAACCAATTTTCTTTATGCACTCGAGAGAGGGTAAAGAAGAGAGTTGCTTCTATGTGTCACTAGCCACATTTACAATTATCGTTTTACATTTCATATGCTCCATTCAATTCATTACAAGGGAGGGTAACTTTATGACTTGATATTCATCAATCAAAATAGGTTAAGTAGGATTTCTGTAGGAATTAACATTGAAAATAGTTTGCAATTCTGTAAGAATAGTTGGTAGAACTATAACTTAATCTCAATTCCAGGCAAAGAACGAAAACTAATAAGCTAGAATTTTTCTTTAAGTCTAGTTCCATGGCTCTCTGTGAGATCAACATTCCGAACTCAACAATATGATATTACTGATACAGCACATACACTTGCGTGAGCCCCCAGAGTGTGAGTGCACCTGGAAACGATATCAAGACCTTGACTCACAAAACTATGATACACGCACACCCCAAACTTAAACCTTTATGCACCCTATTCCTCTGCTTGGACATGAGAGATCGAGCTTGTCGTTCATATTTATGCCTACTTTGTCTGAAGCGTAGCCTCCTCCGCATGGAGAGTTCCCATGTCTGCATAGATGACCGCCAACTCCTCCTTTAGGTCCAATATGGCCGTCTCTTTCTAAAGGCCAACGACCCAAGTGAAGGAGTCCATCATTTTGTCCTGCGGAGAACCAGTGTCCCTTGTGAACCCACCAAACTTCAATATCCTTCTCGACGTCCTAAAGGGTCGACAAATTACCAGACGCACCTTCACTCTAGGCCAGAATAGAAGGTACCTCAATCACCTCTAGAGGAAAGGTAGGTCGATTTTCGTGGTTGGGGAATCAATGATGTGCAAAGTTTCATCTGCAAAAAATAATTGGATGTTATGAATGGGCAAAAGGAATAAATAAACCAAGGAAGAGATTTCCTCACCCATTATTCTCTCCATCTCAAAATTGCAGAGACTCCCGCCAGCAAACAATTGGATAGCCGCTTGGCCAACCTCACCGATCAGAGGCCATAGAGGCACACACCTTTGTGTGACGGGGCCCAAATCGCCGTGACCGATAGCACCTGTTGTTGTTTTGACTGACCCAATAACTGGCAGATCATATTTAAAGTAAGGATCGATGTAGTGGAGGTGTGTACGTCTATCCTGCCACCCCATCTAGCAAATAGGGAACGAGTTAGACAACTCAACCTTCTCGTCCATCATTTGTTTCTTCTGTACTTAATATCAAATCAACTTTGTTCCCTTTGGTCGGCTCCCCTCACATGTTCTCTTTGATCTGATCGACTGTCCCTCGCCCTATGCGGTCCACAACCCTTGCAACTCTAGATTCTGGTCCTACAACCTAGGGATGTTATCTCATCTCATGCAGCTCACAACTCTGGTCTCTGCAGCCTATAAGCATTATCAAATTTCATGCAGCTCCCCACTTCGACCTTTGCGGCCTATTAATGTCATCAAACCTCATGTAGTTCCCAACTCCGCCCTCTGCGGCCCACAGACGTTATCACGGCTCACCACCATGGTCTACGTGACCAAGTAAGGTCTACACGATACATAACTCATGTATCTCCAACTTCGGTCTCAACAGCCTACAGAAGTTATCATCGGTCATGCACCTTCCTACTCAAGCCTCTGTGGCATATAAACATTATCACAGTTTATGCAGCTCCGAACTCTGACCTTTGCGTTCTATAGTTGTTATTGCATATCATCACTACGACCTATATGACCAACTATGACCTTCACAACTCACAACTTGCAACTCCCTACTACGGCCTTTGTGGACAACCATTCCTGTCGAAACAACCCTTTACACCCTAAACGACTAACTACTATCATGACTTTTAACCAAGATCTCTACAATAAACAGGTGCAACAGTTGTTGTCTACAATATTCACGACAGACTATTGTCTCAATAGAAATCAACAATGGCCTTGGTGACTCCTTAGAGGCATTATTGTGGGATTAATATTATACATTAACTTTGTATTTTATTTTCCCTAACTCAAAAAAAAAGTTGACTTGTGTATTCACAATTACATGGTTGATTATTTCAACCGTGCTAAGCCCCGTCATTTTCCTTTATTTCTATGATTTTTCACATACAAAATCGAGGGGTTTCCTCCTGTTTGATTCTATTTTACCTAAGAATGTGTTAGATCTTTCGTGAAATGCTAAAATGCTAAATAATCACTCTATTGTCACAGACGTTTCAGCACACACCAATTCATTTTGAGATGAAATATATAAGATTATGGGCAATTAAAATTTTTAAGTATGAATAATTACAAATGTTTGAAAAATTGGGACATTTTCATCCCTAACACAAATTTCTTACATATTTAACTATCTCACAACTAAATTTTTATATTTAATACAAAACAGTCAAATATTACATCACAAAAGGCTTTACGGCTCCCCACTGCCGCCAGAATTAGTTGTCAGAAATCTAATGTATCGCATCGAATAACTTTGAGTCATTTTGAACTAGAATGTCCATCGAATGAACAGCTCTGTTCCAGCGTAACCCTAGCGAGGGAATTGAGTCATTGGAGAGCACTGCCAATTTACTCCTACAGCTCCTACTCTAACATCTAGGGTTTATTTTTCTGTTTTGAGGAGGAAGACATAGGAGGACAAGATGCTGAAGTTCTTATCTAAGGTCAAGATCGAATTCAACGCTCTCGACTCGCGGACGGCGGCTTGCATGGAGTTCATCGCTCAGTGCAACGCGGGGAAGGCCCGGGAGTCGAATCCGGCGTGCCAAATTGTCCTGAAGCGACGAACAGACGACAACCCGCCTCAAATCACTGTCACTTACGTAAACGGCGTCGAGGAGGTAATAGACGCCGCCTGCACTCCAGCTCAGGACATCCGTGCTCGAATCCTCGAACGTGGGCGCCAGCTAGAGACCGAACAAATGTTCCGTGAGGCCGGCGAGCGGTGGCCCGTAATCATACCTGCGGAGGAGCTCCAACAGGAGTTCGCCGGTACGAAGGTCAGTTTCTTTTCTTTGAGACATTTCTACGAATAATTTGAGTACGAGGGAATGGATGCTCGGTGGGAAAATTAGAAGGGCTTTATGGGGTTTCGGAAGAGTGTTACTTGTTGGGTAAAAATGACTGTTTTTTTCTCAGAAAGAGTCTGCTTTAATCTGAAGTGATTTAGCTAATAAACTGATACATGCCTATAAGATAGGATCATGGTGCTGTTTTATGTGTTGGTTAGAGATGAAAAGAAGACAAATTATAGTTTTCTGTCAACTTGTCGGATGAGGAATGAATTAAGTGGTGTGGGCGATCGATAGCTGATGATTCCTCAATGAAATAAATATTTGCTTCACGCAACAAGCTATATTTTTATTTTTTGCAAGAAATAAGCATTGGCTATTTGGATTTCCATTCGTGCGACTGAGATGAACATACTTAAAAATTCTGAAATTGAAATTTCTTATCAATACAAACCACTCAATGGCTTTGTTGAATTTTGTATCATGTTCCATGTTTTTTTTTTTTTTTTTTTTTTTTTTTTCATTTGTATTGATGTATAGGCTTTTATGTCCATTTTTTTGAGATTATTCATGAGGTTATCTGTAATAGGTTTGCTTAAACTTCTCAAATTTCATGTTTTCTAAGATTGTGGTTCATTTTGTCTACCATGGCATTTAAATGGATATGTTAAAAAGAATCAAATTCAAAATTGCTCAAGTGCCATTAGAAGTTTGACTTGGTATTGACTCAACTTGATTTTGAATTTGACCTTTCTTAAATGCTGTTTGAGTCAAATTGAAAAGTAACTTAGAATATTTATTTAGTATAGAGTAATGCATATGTAGTTAAATAAATTGACTTGTAATCTCTTTTAATTTAACTTGGAATAGATTAATTTTGAGTCATATCTATTTAATTTGAACTGATTTCAGTTTAGCACTTAAAATTTTTATTTTGTATGTGCCTAATTTTTATTTTGCATGTGCCACTCTTAATCTTTGGCTCTAAGATAAGTCAAATAAAAAGGTTCAAGGGAAAAGTAGACAAGATATATACCATAATCAAAACCCCTTCTCACATGCTATAATCTATCTGATATAAAATATATTTTTAGTGAAGTAAAGGAATTTAGTTGAATTAAAGTTGTAGTTGGACAACCAATAAGTTCTCTGTAAAGTCAAAATATTGCAAGAAAATGTCAGAGAACTTCTTAGTTTGAATTAGAGCCAACCAAATTATTTCCATATCTTCTTTTGTTGGCTTCAATGTATGTCTAGTATTTTATGTTCCTTTCTATTTCCTTCCTTTTTTGCTAGTCAGTTGGTTTGTTCCCATGCATGCAATGCTATCCAACTTTTATTCCTTTTTATCTGACGATGTCTTTCCCCATTATTTTAGCAAAAACAACATTATGAAGTAGAAAATATTTACAGATTTGTGAGACTGCCACTCGCTAGACCCATGAACAAAATAACTAAATAAAAAATTCTTGATTGTTTTCTTGATGGAAATATGTAAGATTATTCTTTCAAAGATGCATTATAAAGTGTTAAGGTGGGCACAATGACATTCTAATTTTTTATGCTTTTCTAGTTGTCTTAATGTGCTATTTTATAATTTGTTTTTCTTAATATAACATGTTTATGATATTGTTTTGTATTAGACTGATATGCGTTCCCTTGTGCATGGTATTATGATGGATTTGGTTTATTTATAGCTTGCTATACATGTTTTTAATTCAGCTCACGCATTTTCTCAATTAGTTTTTTCTAGTGGCTTGAACTAGCCATCTATTGATTTTTAAAGTGCTATTTTTTTACCTTCCTATCTTCTCAATTCTAGCTTGCTGTGGTGCTTTAGGGCCTACGGTTGTTTGTGCAATACCAATGATCAGATCTTTTGTAGGCTTTTGCCAAAAATGTATTTTTAAGCTTTTTTGTTGCGTTTGATCTTTCTTCTGAGGTTCGTTGCACCAACCAATTTGAGGCTTTTTGTTGTAGTTTATACTGCATGTTCGTTGCTTATCTTATATTTGACTTTTCTATTTTATCTATCTTATATGGTTGGCTTTGATGCTTGAATTGTAACTTACAAAATTTAGACCAAATTTTAGAGGATTCTAAGAAGCTATTTATTTTGGGGTTATGAATAAGAACCCCGTGACATACTTTTTCAATAGGAATTATTTAATAAATTTTATGTTTCTCTTTTGATTGGATGAGAATTTTGCGATTGTGGTGCAAGCCTTGACAGCGGCTTCCCAGGCATACTTCTATTGCAACAAAGTGAGGCTTGAATCTTTAAATTGGTTATTTCTATTTTTTATTCTTTTTTATTTAATTGTCGTGTGAATGGTTTTGCATGACTAATTGATCTTTGGTTGTGTTTGCTACATGCCAATTTTTGGTTTGCAATATGAATTTTAAGTCATTGCGATAGTTTTATTTGTTCTCAGATTTTCTACAAAGTTTCATATTTTGGTGAGTGAAATTATTTTTTGGACCAAATTAAACATGTTTACTATTTTTTGTTCAAGAGAGTATCTTATTACTATAGATTGTGAATTGTGTTCTTTTGTGTATTTTTTTTACATATCATCTTATTTACATGAGTGAATCCAAGACTTTAGGTCACTCTACGTCAATCCCCTCTAAGCCTGAATAATTTAAGATTAGTAAAAAATTTAATTCAACTCAAAGGAAAGTACTTTCAAATGGCACATTTTCAAAAATTAGTAATAAATGGGAAAATTATATTTGTCAAATGACTTTTGTTCATAATCATTTATCATTTCATAGTGAACTTAAAAAGATATAAGTGCCATTTTGATAAAAATTGGTCAAGATTTATAAAATCTTTTGTTTAGATAATTTTGATGTTGTCACATTGAGATAATTTTGATTTCGTAGTCAGAACCTTTTTATTTATGGCAGTCTGGCAATCCATGGACTCCATTTTGTTGTGCCGCTAAATTTGGATTCTAGTATTAAAGAATAGTTTTAGCATTGATGGCTGATTTTCAAATTTATTTCTTTCTTTAATTGTTATTTCTTTACCAATTTATGTATAATGTCCCATTTTATTTTTATACAGAACAACATAATAAAATTTAATCACACAATCTCTTATTTTCTAGTTCTACTCTTTTCGTTCTAAATTTCAAGTGTTCTGTTCTCTGTTGATATGTATTATATAATACCTATAAATATCTTGTTGGTATGCACTACGAAGTTCACTTGGTAGGAATGAACACTAATTTAGAATCCCTAATTACATTCTTTAACTTAATAGCGCCCATGGGACCTAATAATTCTCTAATTTGAGTCGTTGGATGCAATTCCTTTTTTGCATTAGTATATCTCTATTGAAGGACCCAGCCCAAGAACAATTAGTCAATAACCAAATCTTGACCTATGATAGTCATTCTTTTGTAGGCCTTCGGACCCATCAATATGTTTTTGTTTAGCAACTTTTACTAATCCTCTATGCCATTTAAAATGTAGTAATTAGAAATGACTTCATTATTTGTCTTGAGCATCAAATAGAACATATGTTACTATATTGAGTGGCAGCATTGTTCGTTAGGTGCCCAGCATTAACTCACCCAAATTCAAAATAAGGAGTTTCACTTGCACATACTTTTCTTACATCAATAAGTGATTTTCTATTGGACTAGTAGTTACTAAAAGAGCACCCTAAACATAAAAGGTGTGAGTGTTTGATTCAGAACTCATAGTATGTATTCAAGCTTCTTTTGCCAGCGAAGAAGTATTATCTTAACTAAATAAAGAATAAAGGAGGTCTAACGAGGGTAATTGTTTCCTTTATGATACTATATGCAGCAGTAGGACTCATGTTATGCTTACATTATGAATAAACGTATCAGGAGACTAGAATAGTTATGATAAGGGGTGATATTTATATATTTCCAATCTATTGATGAAGCCGCTAAATCAATGTGTTGTCGAGAGTAACGTTTTTAACCACCACATTGAAAATCTGCTCTTTTTTATTTTATATTTCGTAATGGATACCTTTTTTTTTTTCTTTCTTTTTTTTAATTTATATTGTATATTATAATTTGTAAATGGCACATAGTGTGATATGCACAATCTTTGATTGAATATCAAGTGATACCCCGATCCACCAGAGAAATTCCTACTCACTCATGGATATCAATCAAACTGGTGGATGGAATTGCAATTTGATCCTTATCTTAAAACAAAATGGGATACGATGAAATTGACAGATGCTATGTCATTTGTTTGTCTAAGCTTATATTGTTTTGAAAACATGCTACCAAACTTTCAATTTCAGACTTTGTAACTAAAGATGATCAATCTTTAGCTATATGATTTCGAAGAATTTTCTGGCTTCTCAGTTTGGTTCCTTCATGATAAGGGGAATTAACGTTAGAAGACATATTTAAGTTCATAACGTGAGATTTAAACTCAGCTATAATTGATTCTAGCCAATTTTATTTGACTTAAGAGTTTGAGTATTTTTCAAAATTTTGATATATTTATCTGTCAGACTTGCGATTCTAAGACTTTGTATTAGGTTTTTGACTCAATAATTTGTTAGGATAAGCCAAGATTTTTTAGGAGAATAACATCTTAGTATTTTATATTTGGGATAAATTAGATTTTAAAATTTGCTAGGATGCTTTTTTTGGCCGTGCGGAAATTTATACTTCAAATTTAGTTTTAAAACTACCCCCTTAAAGTTCTATAAATGGAAGAGCATTAAAGAGGCTTTTGGTATGTAATTAAATTGATTCAGATATGGGTTTTTGTGCATACCAAAAATCGTGTGTGCCATGCTGCCTGATGCATGAATTGGTTGTTAAATAGCAAAAACAGAATGAAGAAATAAATTTGAGAAGGGAAAGAACAAGGGCAGGACTGGAGAAAAAGAGTAGCAACTAAAGGAAGATTTTTTTCTTTTGTGGCAATGGTGTGCAATCTCTGTTAATTGTTATTATCGTTGTGCTAGAAATTCTGAGCTGAGTGTATAGAGTGGCGTAAAGGTACCCTTTTGAGGAAGTTTGAAGTAGATGATTTTTTTGTCATTGTTTAACCCACTTTCTCTTATAGGTATCTTCTCGCTTATCTGCCTTGGAGGCATTGGGCCTTATTTTTCTTTTGGGGCATGTACATACATACCACCCCATTCTTATGTATTAAAATATCTAACAGATAATCTTATTTTTTTAATTTATGCCATCCAAATCTTTAAAAATGTCACTTTTTTAACTTTTAAAAAGTAAAATGAACATTTTCATGTATTGGTAAGGTGTCATATATGTAAAAATTAAAGTTTGGGTTATCCGGAAATAGTAAATACATAACAATTGAGTGGTATGTATGTAAATCTTCATTCTCTTTTTTGAGAAACGGTGTACTCAAGCTTTGCAAGTGTACCAACTGTAAATTTTGATATTCTTTATGTGGTTTTCACTTTTTTGCTGTTTTGTGGTTCATTATATTGGCTCATGCTTAATGGTTTCACATAAAAGTTGGGAGATTTTCTTAACACAGATTTTGGATTTTTTTTTTTGGTGTAAATTACCACGAACCATTTATTTGCCAAACCTATTCAAGATCCATGCCCATTCATATCAACAGGATAAAGTGGGTTTTTTTGCCTAAAAAAATTCATGCCTTCCTTTTGCATGGAAGACCATTTTAAAACCAAGCTTAGAACTTGAATAGCTTGATTGAAATTCCCATTTAAACCTGACAAATTTTGACATTTGCAATTTTTTTCACTCCTTTATTCTAGTTCTGTGTGTAATTATAATAAGATTATCCAGTAGCTTGTAATTTCATATTATAACATGTTTTACTTACGACTTTACACATACAAGTATTTGTACAACTTATACGTACTCTTCTCTTTAACAGCCAAAAAAAGCTGTAGAAAAGATCCAGAGCTAGTGATTGACACTAGGCTCAGCAGCACAGCCAACAATTTTCTATTTGTCATGTAAGTGCTGCTGAATCAAAATTTTCTATTTATTCTGTTTTGATTTAGACCCTAAAGATGGCATGATGAAGCTTACATGTAATTCTAGATTATTTTATTTATGTAAGCATTTAGGAGCTGTTTTATTGCATGCAATCACATTTCCTTAGTTTTGAGAAGGCAGCGTACCGTTATAAGGGGAATGTATACATTTTTATGCTAATAAACTTGGTCAAAGGAAGATCAGCATGGATAGATGGAGTAATGATGATATAATAGAATGTTGGAAGTAATATTTATTGTAGTCAAGGTAATAAAAGATAAACTTTCATTATTTGGGCATGTAAAATAGAGCATAGAAATTGCGCCAATACAACAACTGGAAAAAATTGAAATGGAATGATTAAGAAAGTGCAGAGATAACTTTAAGTAAGCATGGTTAAGAATTGCGCAAGATGAAGTTAATGTCTCATGCAGCACTCATGGATAATGAGGATTCATATAAACTATTCCAAATAATTAGGATAAGACTAATAAAGAAGAAGATGAAGATGAAGTAAAAAAGGAGATAATGAAGTATTACTTACTCCGACGCTCTATAAATTGGTGTCATAAACTCATAAGCAGCTTAATGGTTATGTCATATTTACTTAATCATGCAACCCACTTGATCTCATGATTCGGTGTTTGATCTCTAACCACAAGGTGTCTTTATATTACAGGTGCGTAAAAAAAACAAGAAAAATCTCTCATCCAGACTTTCAAATACATTCGCTGTCTCATCTTGCTAGACATAGTTTTCATTGTTCACAAAAGGTGTATGGCCATAATAATAAGGGTAGAAGCCAAAGGCTACAAAATGAGAATCGTCGATGGTGAAGGTTGTTGGGGAGGCTGATCGATTGCTTGGAGGACGAGTGGGTGGTAGCACAATATGTTCAATCTACGTTTTAGTTAAGAGGTTGTAGAAAGGCGATTGCCAACAAAGCTTATTGGCATGTGGTAATAAGGAGGGATGTGGGAGAAGATTGGTAAGAATTGACACTCTTAGGGGGTGTTTGGCTGCATATAAGATTTAGGCTAAATAATATTTAGTAAGTCTGGATTTATCAAATTCAAATAGTGTAAATCCAAAATAATATTTGGTTTAATTTAACGTTAAATTCATTAAATTCTTTTATGGTGTTTGTTATACATTCACTCCCGTGACTTTCTCTCTAAGCTAAATCATTTAAATTCACATAATAATTGGATTTAATAAATTCAGGTTTACATAAAAAAAAAAAAAGTAAAGAAGGGGGGAAATTTTGAATTTAGCGTAGTATGGATTTAATTTGTCTGGTTTTTTTATTAGGCTGGATTTATGTTAATAGATCATAAATCCTGCTCAAATTCAACTACCAAACATCCCTTTAAGAATAGCATAGCATAGGGGAGAGTTGTTCCTTTTTGTAAGTACGCGTGTAAATGAGCCGAACTTGAGCGAGCCAAGATTTAGCTTGTGTTCGGCTCGTTTAAAAATATCTTTGTTCGTGTTCGGCTCATGTTTGAACTAGCTCGTGAACACTTTGTTCGTGTTCGACTCTAATTTTTCGTTGTTCGTGTTCGGCTTGTGTTTGTCTCGAATTAGGCTCGATATGAATAAAAAGCTAATTTAAATATAAAAATTTTAAATTAATTAAAATATTTAATTTTGAATGAAAAAGTGTTTGCTTAAAAAAACTTTTTGAAGCAAAATTTCTTAATCTATTAAAAGTTTGAGAGAAATAAAACATTTAGATCATTGAAGCAAATGAACAAATATTCATAAAATTGTACTATATCATTAAATTTGAAAAAAAAATATTTTTTGAAATAAGAGGAAAAAATGTAAATTTATAATTACATGTCGCAAACTCACAATCATGGTAATGTTTTGAAAGCTTTATTCGCACATGAACAAATATTAAATAAAAAAATATATTACTTCATTAAAATCAATGACAATTATAAAATTTATACATTCAAATATTTACATCTTACAAAAAAAATTATAAAAATTACAACACATCAATTTATTACATATTTATACTTCATTACCTCTTCAAAAAAAAAAAAAAAAAAAGATACTCAAATTTTTTCTCTTCTTATGGAATAGAAAAAAATATCAACTTTGAAATCAGTAAAGATTTCAAGCAATTCGAAATCCGTTGAGTCCTCAAGCAATCTCTGGAAATCATCATTGCTCAAAATAAAGTATCTGTTCTAAATCAGTAAAGATAAAAGAGAAATATTTGTTCATATCTGAAAAAAATGTGTGTTCAGATAAGTAAGTGGAGATTCCTGATGAGTAAAAGTAGATCCTTAGGTTTCACTCTTCTCAATAAGAAGGAAAATAACAAATTGAAATGAAGGAAACCAAGGATAACTTAACCATAAGCATAAATATTTTTCTTCTGTCTAATCTCAGAATTTTTCATTGAAAATGCCTTATTAGTAGCCGAGCCAACCAAGAGCTTGATGTTTCCAAATGTTAAGAATTAAGTCGAGCTTGTTGTTTCTACAGTATATCCCAAAGCATAAGTGGTGTTTCATATAAGTTGTTTGAATGATCGTGATAATGGTTGCTAGAGCATATTTGAGTTATATCTACAAGCATGCAATTCTAAAAAGCACAAATCGTTGAATTTTATCGTCTATAAGCATGCAATTCTAAATACCACAAATTATAAGTGGTGTTTCATACAAGTCATTCGAATGATCGTGATAATGGTTGCCAAAGCTTAGATGGTATCTATTAGTGCATAAATTAATGATCGCAGTGTAGCAGAAAGTAGTTAGTTGAAATTGAGTGGTATGTATGTAAATTTTTCTAATAAGAAATGACAGAAGAGTAATACTCGACAAAAAGCATATGTCAAAGAGACGTAATACTTAACAAAACAGCTGCAGCCTGCACCTGCTTCCTCTTTAGAAGTAATTGTGGATGATTTCACCATCCAACAACAAACATAATACCTTAAAAGCTTTCAGTCTTCCACCATTCAACAATAAACAAAAATGTTTTGTAGTAACTTCTATATTTTCATATTCCAACAACCAAATGACTAAAAAGCTTCCACCTTCCAACAATAAGTGAATTAATAGCAAAAAGATTCCATTGAGTTTCACAAAAATCATCAAAGAAAAGGAGAAGAGAAAAGAAGAGCTCAGAACTTACCTGAATTTTAATCATGGTGATTCCATCTTAAAGATAGAAAAAAAATTTCTAGCTTGGTTGAATCATCTCTGCATCTCTAGAATTCGTCATAGCTAAAACAAAAAAAAACATATACATCCAAAATTTCAAACCAGCAAAAGAGAAACAAAACCAACACATGCCACTTCCAATGAATCCATCTTGCAAACAACAACTATACCAACAAAAGATTCAAAGCCATTGATAAACAAAATTCCAAAATAGCAAAAGATAAAAACAACGAAAATTTCTTTGCCAAAACTTCAGCATTATTTGTTTTGACGACTATATTCGGTTTTCTTGAAACAATATTCAGATTTTTACTGCTATTTTCAACCTCAACTACAATTTCATTAGCAGATAAATCAGTTTGAGAAAAGATCTAAATTTAACATTGCAACACACTACATAAAAATTATTTAAATCATTCCTTGCACTTCCCAACACTTAATACACCATAAAACATCAAATATTGGTTTGAAACTGTCAACATTATGAGCGGCTGAGCACAATAGTTCATGGATCAAAATAGAAATGATAAATTACTCATAACTATTTTTGAAATGCCAACATTTTTGTACAAAAAAATATGAACACGACTGAAAGTTGGTGGAAACTTTGTGTGCATTAATTCTTCTAGATAAGAGCAAACCAACATCATCGACTATTCACAAATCAAATACACGTGCTAAACATAGTTAAATAAGCATAGAGATTGAATGTAATTTTAATTTAATTACATATCTAACACCCAAACTTTAGTAGTTACATGCATGGCACTCAAATCCTTGACATAAGACTTGTATGCAAATATAAATATGAAAGATTAGGTGTTAAATCTGTAAATGCATAAGAATTGTATGGTATGCATGTAAATTTCCCTTAATTGAAAGAAAATAAATAATGTTGTTGCAACATTTATATATGACTCAAATCCTTGACATAAGAATAGTATGTAAATATAAACATGAAAGGTCAGGTGTTAGATCTGAAAATACATAAGAATTGCATGGTATGCTTTTAAATTTCCCTTAATATATGAGCTCAAATATATTGACCACATTTAACAGCAGATCCTAAAATGCCATCCATTAAAGAAAAATCAACATTTCGAATGGACGAACGAATGTGAGGAAATGTTTAGGGAATGTGAGGAAATGTTTAGGGAATGTGAGGAAATGTTTTGGAACTTGAAAGATGTATTTAAGTATCTAAAACCTAAATATTAAAATAATTTCAAAAGAATTTCAAACAAATTATTAATAAAAAAAGATGTATTTAAGTATCTAACACCTAAATTTTAAATTTTATATTTATAACATAAATTATTTATATCACACATACCATATGTTACTTATGCTATCACCTATCTAACACCTAAAATTTTATTTGTATATTTACAGCACAAATTTAATATATCACAAAAAAAATATCATTATTACTAGCTTTTGAAAAAAATAAAATACCTTTTATATATATATATAATATAAATGCATAGGAATTATGTGGCATGTACGTTAAACATTCAAAATAAAAATAAATAAATGAACCCATCAATTATTAGCCTTGGTTTTCAGATGGACGGGCAAGTTCCGTGACGTCTCGTCTACGAAATGTTGATAATGTTGTGATGATGACTAATAACTTGTTTAGAGGTGGGTCTTGGAAATTAAGAGTTTTAAAAATAAGAATAAAATTTGTGATTCGTTTTCTTCGATGGATCAACAAAAATAAATAGTATATCATGAAGTTTCATTTGGAGAATGTTTTTGATTGATCAACGTAAATAAATACTAATATAGTTTAAATTTAAATAAGATTTTAAAGTGAGGCGGCGACTCTGCTCATGCCTTCTTCTTTGCAGCCGCCGCATCCTGCATAGCCTCTCGAGCATTAGCGTTCGCCTAGTCCTTCTCCATCATTCTTCTTAACACATGCGGTTGGAATGCCCGGTCAATAATCGCCTGGTCATGGATACCAGTGGAAAGGCCATCCCGCAGAGTCGAGCTGAGTATCTCATGATTCAGATTTGACTTGATATAATTATAAGTTGTTTATGTTCGGCTTGAGCTTGTGTAATACTGTCATATATTGTTCAAGCTTTATTTGTTTTAAATTTTCAATATTTGAACTTGATTTGTTTATTGCAAGTCAGTGAGTATTTAAACGAGCCAAAATAAGATTCAAACGAGTATATATAATTTCATATAAAAAATTTAATAAATAAATTTATAAATTTGATCATACTTCCTAATTTATCGATTATAAACTTTGTAAAAATGAAAGTAACTCATGAACCATGATCATATGGACTATAATATCTCTATAAAAATTTAAACTAAATTAGAGGATGTGAAACTGTGAGAGGCCAGAGGGAATGTGAGGTTTGTGGAGGGTTTAAAATTAATTTTAAGGTGCATTTCATGCATACTACATGAGTCTTACGTATTTTCACATCTATTACATAAACTTTAATAAAATCATGATATAATTAATAATTAATCAAAAAATATTATTTATATAATAATATATTACTATTAAATCTATAATTAAATAAATTATAGTTAATTAAATTTATTAAATAATATATCATCTATGATACAAGTTATTATCGAGTTTAATGTCTGAGTATTTAATAAGTTGTTTGTTGAACAACACACGAGTTTGTTCGTGAACATATGTGAGCAAGTTCAACTATGTTCATGTTTAGTTTATTTAAACTTTGAGCTTTTAAAATTATTCACGCTTCTTTATTTACTAATTTGAACGAACATGATCGAGCCTTAATCGAGCTGAGTTCGAATTGTTCATAAATTGATTCATTTACAACCCTAATAGCCAA